TGTATAAGCAGTCACATGGTGAGACTACAGGCTATACATTTATAATCCCACACTGCCATGCATGGGGTTAATTGGTTTTAGCCACCTGGTGAGATTGTAAATGGTACACACATTTATGATCCCACATTGCCATGGTGTTAATTGCTTTTTAATTTTATGACCTGATAACCTTGAAAGAAATAAGACATTGTTTTGTTTGTCTTTTATCTCAGTATGTCCATTCATGTGGCTAGAGACATAATGTGTATATATGTCTTTGGTGTGGCTAATGTAGGTAGGTCATGTGGACAGGAAACATGTATTTAAAACCTTAATACAATGCTACCATGTAATCCTAACTTATGTTGTTTTTCGGATTATTTATTTTTTCTCAGTGTTTCAGTTTAATTTAACTTTAATGTATTGTTTGGTAAAATTCATTTTTATTTATGCATGTTAATCTTAAGCTTTCAGACACAGCTTTTAAAAAAAAATTCTTGCAACAGTTTCAATATGCACAATAAGGGCTTATCATGGAATGTAGGAAATAGTCATAATAATAAAAAAAAAAGTGTATTTAGTATATACATTGACATATAAAGTTTTTGAATATATATACTTTTATAAATAAGTTGTAGACAGAACCATACATATGTACTATATATGTCTCTAATTATATAATGTATATAGAAAAAGTCACATGAAATTAAATTATTTCAAATTGTATGTAGTAAATTATCTCAACTGAATAGTGTTTCAGAATATTTTAACATTTTTGTCTCACCTTGAGAGAGTAAAAAAGCGAGACATAGGTATGCTGTTTTTGGCGGCAGCATCAACATTGTATTGGTTTGTGATTAGGTCTAGTTTATTGATGGAATCAAAAAGCAAGACATAGGTATGCTGTTTCTGGCGTCGGCAGCAGCGTCAACAATGTACTATCAATTTGTGATTACATGTAGGTCTAGTTTATGGTGAATCACTAGAGGTAGGTCAATGATATATGGTATGCAGCTGTATTAGCATTGGCACATCTCATTACCATGCCAGGTGATTATTTGTCCCAGCCCCCTCAGTCATGGTCTATTGACTTTGAAACTTTGCTTAGTTTACATGTATTAGTTTGTGATTAGGTCTAGTTTATGGTGAACCACTAATGGTAGGTCAATGATATTTGATATGCAGTTGTATAAGCATTGGCACATCTCATTTCCATGGAGATCATTTGACCCCATGTGATTAATTTAGGTATGTTTTCAAGGAACTGTTAGTAGTAGGTCAATGATAATTGGTATGCAGTTGTTTAAGCATTAGCACATCCATATTTTTTATTTTCCATGGAGAATATTTGGTCCTTACCCCCTCAGTCATGGTCTATTGACTTTGAAACTTTTGCTTAGTTTACATGTATATATAAGTTTGTGATTAGATCAGTTAAAGATGAACCACTAATGTTAAGTCAATGATATTTGGTATGCAAATGTATTGGCATTTGCAAGTTTCATTTCCATAGAGATTATATAGCCAATCCCCTCATTATGGTTCATTGACTTTGAAACTTTTACATAGTTTACAAGTTATTGTTTGTGTTTAGGTTTGTTTAAAGGAAATGATTTATGAAAAGTCAATAGTATTTGGTATGCAGTTGTATTAGCATTGACACATCTCATTTCCATGGTGATTGTTTAGCCCTGTACCTTCAGTCATGATTCATTGACTTTGAATATTTGCATAACTTGCATGTTGAAGTATTGCTATTTTAATTTCAACATTTGCATTATCCAAATAACAAATAGGCGAGACATATTAGTTTATGGTGAATTAGTGGTAGGTCAATGATATTTGGTATGCAGTTGTATTAGCATTGGCACATCTCATTACCATGGAGATTATTTGGCTCTGCCCCCTCAGTCATGGTTAATTGACTTTGAAACTTTGCTTAGTTTACAAGTATTAGTTTGTGATTAGGTCTGTTTATGAGGAATCACTGGTGGTAGGTCAATGATATTTGGTATGCAGTTGTATAAGCATTGGCAGATCTCATTTCCATGGAGATTTTTTGGCCAGGCCCCCTCAGTCATGGTCTATTGACTTTGACTTTGAAACTTTTTCTTAGTTTTCATGTATTAGTTTGTGATTAGGTCAGTTTAAGGGGAACCGTTAGTGGTAGGTCAATGATAATTGCTATGCAGTTGCATAAGCATTAGCACATCTCATTTCCATGGAGAATACATAAATTTGTATTTGGTCCTTACCCCTCAGTCTTGGTCTATTGACTTTGGAACTTTTGCTTAGTTTACATGTAAAACAGTATTGGTTTGTGATTAGGTCAGTTTAAGGTGAACCCCTAATGTTAAGCCAATGATATTTGGTTTGCAAGTTTCATTTCCATAGCATTTATATAACCCCACCCCCTCATTATGGTTCATTGACTTTGAAACTTTTACATAGTTTACAAGTTAATGTTTGTGTTTAGGTTTGTTAAAAGGGAACGACTTATGAAAAGTCAATAGTATTTGGTATGCAGCTGTATTAGCATTGTCACATTTCATTTCCATGGAGATTGTTTAGCCCTGTACCTTCAGTCATGGTTCATTGAATTTGAATATTTGCATAACTTACATGTATAAGTATTGCTATTTTAATTTCAACATTTGCATTATCAAAATTAAACAAATAAGCTAGACATATCTCTGTGTTAACAGTTTATTATTATTGTTTTTGTGTTTATTACAATTTCAATAATTTTTCAAGATTATAACAAAATATTGTCCATGAAAATGTCAAGTTTTTAAAACAATTCAACAGATGGTTATTAATAATTAACTGTCTTCTATTTACGATTTACATTTCCTGTCAATTGTTTAAATACTGTCTGGACAGACCTTTTTCATAATTTGTCATTAATTATTATTGAAAGTTCTGTATAACTTTAAAATAAGAGAAAAGAAATGAAATACCATTAAACATTTGTACAAAAATGGAAATTATTTTCTATCAGATTTGTGACTTTTTATGCCCCTGCAACTAAAACTTGGGGGCATATTGTTTTACCTCTGTCCGTCCATCCCATTATGGGTATATAGTTATGCCCCTGCAACTAAAAGTTGGGGGGGGGGCATATTGTTTTACCCCTGTCCATCCGTCTGTCTGATTGTCCGTTCCATTATGGGTATATAGTTATTCCAGATAACTCCTCCTACAGTTTAAATGCTAGAAAGTTTTCATTTTGCTGGCTGTTTGTACATATATTGAAGGTGTGCATGTGGTCAGGGTTTTGAATTTTATTAATATTTGATCTTTTGGGAGATAGTTGAACTTTGTAATTTTTTGGAGTATTTACTTGCATAAGAGGTGCATAGCACTTCCAGATAACTCCTCCTACAGTTTGAATGCTAGGAAGTTTTCACTTTGCTGGCTGGTTGTACATATATCATGTATATTGAAGTTGTGCATGTGGTCATGGTTTTGATTTTTATTAATATTTGCTCTTTTGGGAGATAGTTGAACTTTGTAATTTTTTGGAGTATTTACAAAATGTACCTGCATAGCGTTTCTGGATAACTCCTCCTACTGTTTGAATGCTAGGAAGTTTCACTTTGCTGGCTGTTTTTACATATATTGAATGTGTGCTTGTGGTCAGGGTTTTGATTTTTATTAATATTTGCTCTTGAACTTTTTCATTTTTGGAGTAAATGCTTGCATAAAAGGTGCATAGCGTTTCCGGATAACTCCTCCTACGGTGAACCATAGACCTATGTGCTCCCATGATTAACTTTGTGTATTTTAAAATAACACTTTACATCTGAGATGGCATCATTTGTGTCTCCCAGACACAAAAATATCTCAAAGAAAAGTCCTACATTGACTTTGTTATAATACAGTTACTTCAGAGTGGAGTGGGGTGCATCTCTTTGTCTAGTTTTCCATTTACCTTATATAATGTGCTCTTGGAACAGATATTTATTGATTTTTTTTGTGGATTTAAACTCAGCATTTTAGAACCTCTTTTGGACAAACTTTTGATTGAAGCTTAATAACTTGACGAAAGTTAGTCAACATTTTTGTGCCCCCATCGTAGCGGAGGGGGCATTTAGTTTTACCCTTGTCCGTCCGTACGTCTCAAAGTTGGTTTCCGTTCTCTAACTTAAGTTTGCCTCAACCAAATTTTATGAAACTTATACACAATGCTTATTACCACAAAATACAGATCAAGCTTGAATTTTGGTGGTGTCACTTTTACTGTTCTAGAGTTATACCCTTTACAAATGGAAAAATTGCTGAATTTTTTGGTTTCCATTCTCTAACTTAAGTTCGCCTCAACCAAATGTTATGAAACTTATACACAATACTGATTACCACAAAACTCAGATCAATTACAAATTTGGGTAACGTCACTTTAACCGTTCTTCAGTTATGTCCCTTTATAACTTTATATGATATGCAAGCGGGGGCATCATCTGTGTCCCATGGACACATTCCCCATTTATTTATTTGAAATCCAAAAGAGTTAATTCCAATTTGACTCTTGTAAAATGTTGTATAAAACAATGTTTTACTACTTTGTTTCTTAGGAGAATAGTATTTTAAACCTTAGAGAAAATTTCTCTTTTAAAACCTTTGTTCAGTTGTATCCAAACTTGATCTGAATCATGTGAATAGACCACATATGGTAAATGTTGATCTGACTGATTTACAGATGAGATATTCAATCTCCCATAAGTCTCTGGTTTTTCCTATCCATATGATATTGTTATTAATGATATCAAATGTTTACTTTTATACATTGTAGGTCCAAATAATGCCATGTTTAAATTAGTAAGTTGTACTTCTGCAGGGCAAACACACTTGTATATGTATTGCATGAATGATTATATATACATGTATGGTATATAGATTAACTTTCACTTTCATTATCTCAAATACACTATAAATGTATCAAATATAACTGTAGACATGTGGACATGTGTGTGATATTTTCTACAAAGACTACATGTATATAAAGATATTTTATTTTGTAGATAAACAAAAGTACAGAAAATAGTAGCTTTTTAGTTATTATGTGAATAGATATCAACTTAAATGGTGAGTACACCAAGACATTTACTATTCAAAAGGTATGACAAAATGGTAGCTTGGTCTGCATTCCCTGTTGGTAATGGGTAATAGTTGGGGTTTGCGAGATTTTCTTTGTTTACTTGACAGTGTTCAGTAGATTCAGATACTCTTTTTAGCTCACCTGGCCCGAAGGGCCAAGTGAGCTTTTCTCATCACTTGGCGTCCGTCGTCCGTCGTCAGTTTGGGTACTTTACCAACCAAAATTAACCAAGATTTGCACTTCATTATTGTCATGATCGTTTACTATATCATGTAAATAGGATTAGGTTGACTAAGATATAAATCAAAGAAAAAAGACATGTTTATCTTCCTTTTGTAATTTTGATAATTAGTCAGTTGCAATGTAGGCATAATATATATTTATAAGAAGATGTGGTATGAGTGCCAATGAAACAACTATCCATCCAAGTCACAATGTGTAAAAAGTAAACAATTATAGGTCAAAGTACGGCCTTCAACATGGAGCCTTAGCTCACACCGAACAGCAAGCTATAAAGGGCGTTAAAGACTAGTGTAAAACAATTCAAACAGGAAAACAATTGGTCTAATCTATATAAAAAACAAGAAAAGAGAAATACTTATAAACCAAACCAACAAATGACAACCACTGAACAACAGGCTCCTGACTTAGGACAGGTGCATAAAAATGCAGATGGTTTGAACGTTTTATCTGGCGCCAACCTTCACCCTAACCTGAGACAGTGGCTTGTCTGTCTTTTTTGGTCTTTATCTGTTTTCTCGTTTCTTTTTCCTCTTTACTTTCAATAGCCATGGAAAACATACCGGTATTTCAATTCATCAAATTTTCCTGATGTATATTGTTATAATGTGTAATGTAGATACTTAGTATAGCTTTATTTTATTTCCGAAAATCATTTATATGCATGAAATTTATATATACTGTATGTTTAGAAATTAATGTGTGCATTTGTAATTGCGAATCCTTGACTATAGTGAAAAACACAAAATCTAACTAATGCGTTTTGAAAAATTTAATGAAGTAAAATCAATACTGAAATTATTAATGTAAGTTTTTATACGCCCGTTTACGGGACGTATTATGGTATACCGTTGTCCGTCATCAAAATGTCGGACAATAACTCAAAAATGCTTTAATCAATTTGCATAAAACTTTGGTGAATTGTTTATATCTATTGACGTGAGCTCCCTTTCGTTTTTTATAAATTTTGGATTTTACGTTTCCAAGTTATGGGGTTTTATTCATTAAAAATGGGGGATTTTCCAGTTTTCAGACAATGACTCAAAAACACTTTCACCAATTTGCAAGAAACTTTGGTGAATTTTTAATATCTATTGACATGAGCTCTCTTTCAATTTTTATAAATTTTGGATTTTACGTTTCCAAGTTATGGGGTTTTATTCATTAAAAAAGGGGGATTTTCCAGTTTTCGAACAATAACTCAAAAATGCGATCAGCAGTTTTCATGAAACTGTGGTGAATAGTTTATATCTATTGACGTAAGATCTCTTTCAATTTTTATAAATTTAAGATTTTATGCTTCCAAGTTATGGGATTTTATTCATAAAAAATGGGTGATTTTCCAGTTTTCGGACAATATCTTTAAAGTGCTTTGAGCAGTTTTTATGAAACTTTGGTGACTGGTTTATATTTATTAAGATAACCTCCCTTTAGATTTTCATAAATTTCTGATATGACATTGAGAAGTTATTGAACTTTATTCTTTGAAAACACGACGGGTGTATCATGCGCTCATGGCGCAGCTGTTTATTATTATTGCCAACCTGAAACTGATGCATTTTTATACGACCGCAAGAAATCTTCAGTTGGCCAGTATTGCGCAGTAGCACAGTATTGCGCAATAGTAAGAAATCTTCAATTGCACAGTATTGCACAATAGCAAGAAATCTTAAATTGCACAGTATTGCGCAATAGCAAGAAATCTTCAATTGAAAATAAATACAAATCTGTTAACCAATTTCAATGGGATTAATTTAAAGTCTTTTATTTTTGGGGGTTCTAACCTTTATTCCTTTTTTGGATATTGGGCCCCATTTTAAATGGGTCTACATTGAGGTCAAAAGGGTCCAAAATTAAACTTTGTTTGATTTCATCAAAAACTGAATTATTGTGGCTGTATGATATGCTGAATCTTATTGTGCATTTGAATTTTTTATTTTGGGCCCTGTTTTCAAATTAGTCCATATTAAGGTTTGAAGGGTCTAGAATTAAAATTTGTTTGATTTCAACTAAAATTTAATTTGTGGTGTTTTTGTCTCACCTTGACGGAGTCAAAAAGCAAGACATAGGTATGCTCTTTCCAGCGTCGTCGACGACGACAGTGTCAGGGGCTGTGGCGGCGTCAACAATGTATTAGTTAGTGATTAGGTCTAGTTCATGGTGAACCACTAGTGGTAGGTCAATGATATTTGGTATGCAGTTGTATTAGCATTGGCACATCTCATTTCCATGGAGACTATTTGGCCCTGCCCCCACAGTCAAGGTCTATTGACTTTGAAACTTTTGGTTAGTTTTCATGTATTAGTTTGTGATTAGGTCAGTTTAAGGGGAACCATTAGTGGTAGGTCAATGATAATTGGTATGCAGTTGTATAAGCATTAGCACATCTCATTTCCATGGAGAATATTTGGTCCCTACCCCTCAGTCATGGTCTATTGACTTTGAAACTTTTGCTTAGTTTACATGTATAAGTTTGTGATTAGTTCAGTTTAAGATGAACCATTATGTTAAGTCAATGATATTCGGTATGCAAATGTATTGGCATTTGCAAGTTTCATTTCCATGGAGATTATATAACCCCACCCCCTAATTATGGTTCATTGACTTTGAAACTTTTACATACAATGACATAGTTTACAAGTTAATGTTTGTGTTTAGGTTTGTTTAAAGGGAACGACTTATGAAAAGTCAATGGTATTTGGTTTGCAGTTGTATTAGCATTGGCACATCTCATTTCCATGGAGATTGTTTAGCCCTGTACCTTCAGTCATGGTTCATTGACTTCGAATATTTACATAACTTACATGTTAAAGTATTGCTATTTTAATTTCAACATTTGCATTTAATATCAAAATAACAAATAGGCGAGACATATCTCTGTGTAAACAGTTTATATTATATGCTGAGTCTAACCATGTTGTTAGATTTTGGATATCAGACCATTCTAGGTAAATTAAATGTCCCATTTCAAATTTTTAAGATCTTTCACCACATTTATTTTGTGTCAGAAACCTATATTATGTCAAAAATTTGATCACAATCCAAATTCAGACAGTATCAAGCTTGAATATTGTGTACAAACTTGCCCCAATTGTTTAGGGTTAGACCTCTGCGGTCGTATCTGGCTGCGCTCAGCGAAGCATTTGATTCAAATTGTTAGAAATATCACCAAAATTTGTGTATTTACAGTTTTATTTTTATCTTTCAGAACTCCATATAATGTCCATGATGTCAGATTCAGAAGAAAAACTAGATGACCTTCACCAGTCTATTCTTAGTTTATGTGGTGCTGATGTAACAGTTATTGAGGTTAATAATGACAGTCCAAGGAAGTCAAAATCTCGGGATAAAGATAGTGAAGAATCAAATGCACTTGTTCCAGATATTGGGAAGTCACCATCCAAGTCTGAAGGTTCCACCTTGTACAGCTGTTCTGAATTTGACACTGTAGATGAAACGTCCTGCTCTGATGATATGTATACTACAACTAGTGAAGAAATGTCTGGCTGGAGCCCGCCAAAATCTATCGGTAAAAGTGAACTTTTACTTATGCATACTATGGATGAAATAGATGGAGATGTTACCACGTTGGATGGGTTAAAACAGATTCAGAATAATACTAAAAATAAAACTGAAAATTTTGGAAAAGGGGCTATGTCTTACACGCCAGCTTTAGGTTTATCACCAATTAAAGACTATGAAAAAGATCCAGGATTCTTGCCATCAGAGCCAGCCACACCTTCATTTCTAGATTCTGGTAAATTCTCCAAGTTTGCTCAAAGTACACCTTTACAAGCAGCACTAACAAAAGTGGTAGCATCAGACATTCGATCAGGACAGAAAGAAAACAGAAATGAAAGTGAAAGTAAAAATTTTGCCAAATCAGGAAGTAAAAAGATATCCATGTTCCAAAATGATGAATCGGAGCTCTCTAATATGGATTTTGATGAATTGCTCTCCGATACATTTAAATTATGTAAGGGAAGTGATGATGACTGGGATGAATTTTTACGTGATACAAAAATGCTAACAAGAAGATCTCCGTCTTTTGACCAAGAAGTAAACGAGGAAGATACGGAAAAGCAAATTGAAGACAAAACAAGTTTAAAAGAATGGAAAATGTTGTATGCCAACAATGATACACAGGGTCAGAGTGCTGAAAAACAGAAAACAAGCACCATTTATAATACTCAAATGGATGAGTCACAACTTGACACAACAATCATCGAGAAAGATGAAACACTAGATTCTAAGAAAAGCAAAATTTATGAAAATATGTTTGACATTTCTAAACAACAGAAGAAAATTGAAACACCAGATGATAACGAAAGTAAAAAGGATGAAAACTCTGGTGCTAAAGAAACAGTATCAGATTTAAAGGACAGTGGTGCTGCTCACAAAAACCTGTCAATGTCAAAAGACTCAAATCAAAGTTGTATTCCTTCAACTTCAAAATGTCCAGATCAAAGCTATATTCCAGCCTCCTCTAAGGGTCAAGAACATAATTTAAGTAAAATCAATATTGAAAGTTTTTTTTCCAATGAATTAAAGTCAAAAGAACAGGGAAGATTTTCAAATTTAACTACATCATTGTTATCAGACATTGAAATAACAGAAGATGAATCTGAACAAGATGTTTCAGAAGACGTTCTTGGATTAAATAATTTTACATACAGTGAAGCAGATGATATTGATCTAGATGATGAAGATGAGAATACACTTTTGGATGAGACAATCACTGACTTACCAGAGTCCATAAAAAATAAATACAAATTACAAGAACAGGTATCTATTTTAATTCAAGCAGATAAAACCATTGATCAAAACAAAACTGTTTGTGAAAAAGATGTGACCATTGCTCCCACTGATGTAAATAAAAATTTAATGAAAATGTCTGATGATAATAAGGAGAAAAGTTTGGATCAGATAGAAAAAGGAGAAAAGGTAGATGGTGAGATCAAAGAAACTGAGGTGAAGGTCACTGATGAAGAACGACCAGAAATTGAAAAAGTGACCGGTAAAATTGACTACGAGGCTGAGAGGAAATATTTTGATATACAAAGCCCTGAAGTAAGAGATATAATTAATCAGTGGGAAAGCAAAGGTATTCAGGATCCAGATACTAACTTGTCTTTTGCATCAAACATTCGCAGTAAGAACCACAGTAAAAAAGGAATGCTTGAAGGAACTCATTTAACATGTATATGGCTACAGGAGTCTGTTGATGCAGAAAAAAAGAATTGCTCATCACCAATGAAAAAGAGGCAAAAGCTTGATAGTGAGGCTCACACTAGACAAGATATAATGAATCTAGAACAAGAGTTTGATGAAATTCAATTCAGACACCAGGCAAGCTTGAATGGATTACTGCAAGAATGGGAATATGAGAAACAAAATCTGGAAGGAAGAAAAAAACAGTTAAGGTGTAGACAAATGATGGAAATGAAGGAAAATTATGTGAGGTTCAGATTTGTAAATATACCTATGTTTAAGATGAATGTAATGAGATTGCATAATGAGCATTCACAACAGTTGATGACATGTAAGGCTATGTGTGATGCAGAACTTGAAAAAATTAGACATGTCTTTCAGAGGCGAGAGTTTGATATTGAACGAAATTTTAATCATAGAAAAGCACAGTTAAGGTCTTTAATTGAACAGATTAAGCATGTTAAATCAGATGGCAAGTATGGCCACCATGTTACTGCTCAATTTGTTAAAGGACCTTGTCGGTCAAATAAGCTCACTAGGTCATTAGTAGAAGTATATGTCCCAGCAGCTGTAGCTAAGTGTATTTTAAGGGAAGATGAAACCTTTGATTCATATTATAAGTATGCTTAGTATTAGTCATTCAATACTCAGTTTTGATATCCATATTCATAGTCCCTTTGTACAATATACATATGGTATTTGTCCCTATGTACATGTACTCAATGTTAATGTACAGTTATCGCATACCACGGTCATATTGATTTTTTGTGTACTATCTGTCCTTGCATTTAAAGATTTATATTTGTTTGAGGTGCTCCAGTGATTCTCTTTGCATTTCTATAGGTACAGTAGATATATGAGCTTACATTGTGAAAGTCTTTTCATTCCACAGATAGAGAAATTTTCTCTTAGTGAAAGATGCTTAACTTGTGGTCATGTTTCAGCAATTTCAGTTAAGGGATTCTTTATTTTTCAGATGAATTGTTAACATACAATGTACTACTCAAGTGTATTGGGTTTTTTCTTCTTTGGTGCTATTTGCAATAATGTAGAGGTGCAAACATGTTCATAAGCATTTTATGATTTAAAAAATTCAAATGTATTTTTGACATTTGTTGAGGAGTTTCTTCAGCCTCTGAAAGTAACTTGTTCACTGTTGATGTCAAGATTTAAGGCTTTTGTGCATGTTATGTGTTTTTTTCTAATGAAAAGTTCTGCATTTCACAATTTGATATTCGAAATTTAATATTTTTAATTTGTTAAAAAATATATAGTTACACAAATGTACATGTACCTGTATGACATTGCTTTTGTGTTTAAGATTGATGCCAATATTAAAATACATATACTTTACTAATAGTCAAAAGCAATATCATTGTTAAGTTTATCAGAATAATAAATTAGTCATGTGTTAGTTTAATAACATAATAAGTCTTTCTACATGTATCATATGTGTATATTTTATTTTGTTCACATTAAGCATGTTAAGCAATACCAAATAGTATCTGATAATTTTTTTTATCAAACAATTATGTACAAACACAAATTTTTGATATGATGTTTTACCGTATAATTCTTTATATATGTTGTGTTATATAAGGTTATGTGGCATTTTTCACAAAAAATCATATGACTAAAATTGATTGTAAGTTATACTGAAATGATTATGACTTAGTATTTTTTGTGATATGATTTTTTTTGTGATTTAGATTATACAGTTCTAAACTTATGGCAAATGTTTTGTTCTGTTTAACTCCATTATTTTGCCATAGAGAATACATCCGATCCAAATTTATCTGTAAGATCTAGCTTTAATACAAACGATATGGGAGCTTATACAATGTATACTGTACAATTTCTAGACATGTATATTATTTAGTAATTTTTAATGCTATTCATGAAAATATGACTGAGATTTCTGAATTTTACAGTATTTACTGCTTTTTTGCTGTATTAGATAATGCACCTGTTCTTTCCATTTCAGAATTGTTTGTTATTTAGACTAAGTGTATAAAAATAGGTTAAATAATAGTTTGAAGCACAGTTATTTGACAGGTTAATGCTAAGTCTTCATTTAGAAACACAAATGTAGGTCATGTAGGTAGTCACCTAACTAACAAACTACTGATAATGCAGAGTCCAATATAAAGCATTTAGCAATTCCAGCTAAATCTTTGAAAACATGTTTACTTGTTTATATTTTAATGAGTAGACTTGTATATTTTTGAAAAAAAATCAGTACAGGAAATCCGTTTTTTTTTTATTTTCCGTTCGGAGCAATAGTGTCGCTATGTGTATAATTATTATTTTAAGAGATATTTGTAAAATTTATTCATATAAGGCTATACCGATAGTTGTTCTGGAACAGGATGTAGACTGGTTTCCTGTTACAATATAGAGCTGTCAGAATATTGTCACATCCAACTGTTGGCCTTATACATTTTGGGTCCTTTTTACATTAGCTTACTTTTTTTTTTTATGATTAAGTAATGAAAAGTCCATTCTTTTCTGACTTAAAATGTAACTTTTTATAAATCTTAGTAATCAAAAAGTTCATTCTACTCAAACTTACAATGTAACTTTTCATAAATCTTTCAAATCAAAAAGTCCATTCTACTCAAACTTACAATGTAACTTTTCATAAATCTTACAAATCAAAAAGTCCATTCTACTCAAACTTACAATGTAACTTTTCATAAATCTTACAAATCAAAAAGTCCATTCTACTCCATCTTACAATGTAACTTTTCATAAATCTTAGTAATCAAACAGACCCAGAATTGATGCTTTTTAATCGAATAGTTCTGATTTATTTATGGATATTATGAATCAGTTAATCATTTTGGCTTAGTAATCACAATCTTGTAATCATTTAATCAAAAAGGACATTTTACACTTTCATAATTTTTAGTTATCATGGTTATCATATTAATCAATAAGTCCTGGAATTGATTTTTGAGGGCAGAAGGACTATTTTTAGGATGTCAAAATTGGGCCTTTATTTTTGGGGGAATTCAGGACTTATACTTATTGGGACTCATGAATTAATGATTAATTTTTAGGAATCCTGGAAGCAATGCTTTATTTTTGGGGGAATTCAGGATTTTAGATTTATAACCAATATATGTATACTGTCAGAAAATATGTAAAAAATATTTGTATGAGCTGAAGAATCAAAGAAAAGTGAGTCTTTTATTTGAAAGTTACTGTACATATTTCTGCTTTCTATTGTTTTTTCATGTGTTTCTTTATATACATGTAGAGAATTTTAATCCAAATAATGTCTGAAGTGCCTATTTGTTATTTTAAAAGGAAGCTTAATATAAACTTAGTTTCTTTTCAAGTGTAAGAGGATACACTGATCGTGCTTTTAAATAAAGAGTGCATTAATAAAGAGTGCATTTTTCTACACATAAACAAATATTTGAAGATGAAATAGGTTTCATTGCCAAAAGGATATGCTAAATAAATAAAAAAAATAGTGTGTAATGGTACTTATTTCTTAATAGTATTGCAACAAGAACTTTAATCGGCTCTTAAGTAGTCATATGGTTTACACTTTACTTTAGTATAAATGTTACTGGTCTATATTGAAATTAGATATTGAAGGGCCATGCTTATTATTTCTGATATTTACTGCTTCTTGATACTGCCCCTTTAGACTATAAACAAATGTGAAATATTTGATAAAGTACTGTAAATTCAGAAATTATTGCGATGTTTTTATTATTGCGAAAAATGTGACAGGGTAATAATCGCAATAATTTAAACTCGCATTTTGAAATTTTTTATATGAATTAAACAGGATTTTTCTCAATATCGCAAAAATAAAAATCGCATTTTAGTCTAAAATAACAAAATCGCAATAATAAATGCACGCAATAATTTCTGAATTTACAGTAAATATGACAAAATATCAAATGATTTAAGTATTTTAATTTACTATTGTGTGAAATGTAAAATGTAAGCTAAAGAAATCCTGATAAATCAATGCAGATTTCATATTCTGTCAGTTTGAAACAAACAGTTTTATAGAATAAGTTATCATCAAATAATTAATAACACTCAATCTAATTAAAATTAAATTTCCACACTCAGCGACGAAGAATAAAAAAAAATGAGCAAGTGTGGAGATTTAATTAGATCGAATAACACTCAACTGCAATTATTAGAATTGTATGTTGGTTTTTCTTATTAAAACAAAAACACATTTTTTAAATAAAAGAAAAAAATTAGAGTAAGTAAAACATATAAAATTCTTTTAGAAATACCAAACGGCTGTTTCTACAACAAAATAGATACCAACAAAAATTGACATTTGCTGCACTTGATTGAGAAGAGAAATTATTGTTTGTTAAAATTATTAGCAATAAATCATGAAAAAAAAACAATAATTGTCTGAATCGACTTGAATTCCAAATAATTTTTAAAACTAACAAATAAAGAGAAATAGAGAAACAAAAAAGTCAGCAAGACTAACTCTATACACTTTTTATGTATGAATTTTTTTCTTGCCTTTATTCACAAATAATTCTGTAAATAATTTTATCCAATATTCATGTGGGCATTTTGTTATTAAATTTGTGTTCATTATATGTTTATTGTACATATTGTATAGACATTTATCCATTGTTGAAGTCCAAATGTTAAACTCCAGATATGCTTTTGTGATTATGGGCTGCTGTCTCATTGACATGCCTCACATCTCCTTTTATGCATGCATAAAAATCACAAGGCACTTGTCTCTGAATTTTTTTCAGAGATAAGTTCCTGTGATGCAAATATTTGTTTCCAGGACCAAATACATAACTTTATATTAGTACAATTTTCACGATAAGTATTTTATGATAATGCTAGTCAGGTTGTATACATATTTTTTTTTCACAATATAAAATGAAGTTGTCTTATATTAATTGTCTATATAAGTATCAGTGACGGATCCAAAAGGGGGGGGGGGGCATATGGTTGGAACACACACCCTTTTATTCTGTTGGCTGGATCTGCCCCTGAGCCCTGAGTATAGTACAAGTTTTATTGATACACCTCAAAATTTGCACTTGATTGATTTTCCATTCAGTTTTATTTATGTTGTATGAAATTAGGGAAATGACCATTTAACTTTGAAGTATGGTTATGTTTTGTTTTCATTCTGAATTTTTTTTTGAACCCTGCCAAAATTATTTAATATTTTTTAAGAATTTTAATATTAAATTAAATTAAATGGCAAATACTTAAATTAAGTTTTTTTTTTCTTCTCCTTGATCAAAAGATTTCTTTCTTTAAAGTTTGGAATATTTTCTTTTCAAATGTACTTGTCTAGTTTATCCTATCTTAAGGTTTACATTGCACTTTTTGTGAAATTCATTTGAACTTATGTACCAGAAAATATAAAAATAGGTTTCAGCTTTCAATTTTTGTTGTTGTTCTATGAATAACTTATGTTTGTTTGTGTACTTGTAAATTTAGGAGATTTTTGAACTCATAAGACATCCTGTTAAGTGATTAATACAAGGTCATGTGATTCATTAGCTGTGTATTTACTGTCCTTTTTTCAAATTTGTGAGCTCTTAAAATCTTTTTGATGTTCCAATAATGGTCTATTGTTATCAAGTGATAAAGTCATAAATGCATATAAGCCAAAATCCTTTAGTATATATCCATACATAAATTATAACAGTCCCTCATTAAGTATGTATTGTCATGATAAGATAGACTAGTCTAGTACACATGTACCAACATCTAGGACTTGACCACATTTCTTTTGCTTATAGGCAAAGTAGGTACAGAAACAGGTAATAATGATTAAAAGATGTACAATGTACATTCTTGTTTTCATTACATGAAAAAAAAATCCATAATTCTACCTTTTTGTGCTTAGTAAACCCACCTTTTTGTACATTTTTGAAGTTTGTTTTAATTGACTTTATCACTGCATAATTTCTTAAGAAATTGTTAAAAAAATGAATAAAATGTTGTTGTTTTCAGTTGTTTTGTTCATTCAATACCTGATTTATAATTATAAATGTAATTTTGATTGTGAGTCCACAACTGAAATTGTCAGCTAAAATTCAACAGCTGATTAAATGCCAAATATTAAGACATCTCAATGACCTCTACATTTTGTTTTTAGATCACTTGGCCAAAATTCAAAGTGAGCTTTTCTCATCACTTGGCATCCATTGTCCATTAACTTTTACAAAAAACTTTTCCTCTGAAACTATTTCGCCAAAATTAATCAAACTTGGCCACACTCATCATTAGCTTATCTAGTTTTAAAAATATATTGGCCTGGCAACCAACATGGCCAACATTGCTAAAAATGGAACATAGGGGTAAAATGCAAGTTTTGTCTATTATCTTGAAAACTGCTATAATTAGAGAAAATCTGACAGAGATAGCAATAGTCTGATTGATGAGATACACCTACTGTTGTCCTAAAAGTTTCAACTAAAATTAACATTATTAATGATCGATGTAATTAAGGTCAAGGTTAGATGAACCCTGCCAGACAGACATCATACCATACACCAAATATAGTTAACCTATTGCGTATGGTATAACAGGACCAAACCCAATTAGGAACAATGAACCATGAAAATGAGGCCAATGTCAGATGAACCCTGCCAGACAGAAATATACACCTTACAATCATTCCATACACCAAATACACAGGAAATTGTCTCTGAAAAAGAAATTCCTATTAAGTATATAGGAATTTCTTTTTTTCAGAGAAAAGTGCCTGTGACCAAATATAGTTGACCTATTGCTTAAAGTATTTGATAAGCGGACAAAACTATGAAAATTTCACAATAGCCAATGAACCATGAAAATGAGGTCAAGGTCATATGAATTCTGTCCATTAGACATACTGGTTACAATTATCCTATACACCAAATAAAGTTGACCTATTGCTTATAGTATCTGAAAAATAGACCAATTCAGAAAAAAAAACTAATGAACCGTGAAAATGAGGTCAAGGTGAGATGAAACATGGCAGTCAGAAATGTACACATTACAATAATTCCATACACCAAATATAGTTGACCTATTGCTTATAGTGAGGTTGAGGTCAGGTGAACCCTGTCTGACAGTCATGTAGACCTTGCAAGGATAAACAATTATATATTCCATATACCAAATATAGTTAACCTATTACTCATAATAAGTGAGAAATTCAACCAGTCGCTGAACTATAAAAATAAGGTCAAGGGGACAATGAACATACGTCAGAATGAAACTTCGTAAAACCGAGGCATCTGCCTACAAGGTTTGAAGCATCCTGGTCTTCTACCTTCTGAAATATAAAGCTTTAACAAATAGTTTTCGCTGTCCCTGCTTCTGGGTTGCAATCCCTATGTCTCACATTCTAATAGATCGACAGAAACTTAAATAAGCACACATTTTCAGCAAGACGAGATCTACAAATAAGTTGACATTGTTGAAATCGTCTGACAACCCCTTATTAGAATTATTGCCCTCTAAGTTCAATGACGAATGTTTTCCATTTTTTGCGTTTTTGTCGTCTAATATATGAAAAACTATTATAGAAAGTAAGAAACTCAAAAGAGCAAAAACGCTCTTTAGAGTCTCTAGTTTTTAATTTTGTGCAGGGAATGTATGACTGGTCCTTTGTAAGAAGCAGTTGACTGGGACTGCCAAAGAGTGCACCCGTGCTCCATAAAATATATGTGACCTGAATTCTCCTTTCTCAAGAGTTATTGTTTCCTTCTTAAAACGGGCTTTGTATAAGATATATAGGAAAATCTTCATAGATCGAAAGTACAAGGTTTATAACTATAATATTCGGGGGAGAGTAGGGTTTTAAGTATTTTTAAATATGTTTCCTTTTGCAAAAATGGCAATAAATACTGCAGGTCTTTTATGGAAAGCGGCAAAGAAGTTACACCCCACACTTAAAAAAAAAGGAAGGTGATGTCCGTTCCTCCATCGGTCAATCAGACCAAAATCAGTGCAGAAAAGGTGTTGGTAGTAGTGCACTTTTCGGACCCATATATATCAGTTCTCACTGCCTTTCCCTGTATCGGTACATATAAAGACATTGAGCGGGACATTTAAGTTGAAATTGTAAAAAAAAAATATTGATTTCGTTTAATTTCATTTCGTTTTGCGCCATTTCGTTTCGTTTCGTTTCGTTTCGTTTTGTTCCGTTCCGCTTTTATTTCGTTTCGCACTTTACAGGTAACCGAATACGACAGTTGTTTTTCATTCGTTCCGTTGGTTGATAAAGTGCAACGTTCGATTTTTTTCCAGTTTTTATGGACTTTTCCTTTTTGATTTACCTTGGTATTTTTTTTAAACCTTTATTTACCCAAAACTCATTCGGGACCTTTCTCACATTTCGTGTGATCATACATTTGTATATCAAAATTTGGTTAAAAACAGTTATTCTACCACACTGGAAAAGTGGAATTATCGGGATATGATTCAGTAGTAATAATGTTTTTGTGTGAGCAAGTTTACATTCGTAATGTTGGATTATTTGTTGTCGTGAACATGAAATATTTGCTCCCGGGCTGACGTTAAGCCGCAAGTTACCCATATCGAACGAAAGCATTAACAATTATAGATCATTGTTTACGCTTTATTTCGCTGTCAGGTCTAGGTATGGATGTGTAAACCTACGTTGGTTACGAGTGATGGCTCTCCTTTCGGGTGAACAGGCGATAACTACAGTTTGTTTATGTGAGGAAATTTCTGGTCATTTTTGTGAGTTCGTTTCAAGAAATTTCGGGTTGGTATTGGTCTTTCGGGTCTGCAATGGTCTTGAAAGCAGTTTTCGGGTAGCCTTTTTGTCAGAATGTCAGATTTCGGGTACGTGTTTTGTAATTCTATGCAAATTCCCTTTTGTCACATGTTTGCCTAAGTAAAATTTTATTGGATTTATGTCAAGTTAAATTCGGATAATTTAGGGTATGATAAAAAAAACCCTGAAAAACCGACTGGCACTCAACAGCTTGCATTTCATGACCTCATATCACGGTTAATTTGTTGTCAAACCCGATTATTTTATGATACGACCATTATAATTTCGGCAGGGGGAGGGGGGGGGGGGTCATCAAAATCTTTAATTCTCAATTATTTATTTTCATTCTGTGTTTAATTCGGGTGCAGCAGTACGTGAAGGTAAATTTCCTGGGTGGAAGGGCAAAAAGGAGGGGGGGGGGGGGGGGGGGGTGTTATAAGTGGCACGATCATATCTATTGATGTCCCATATAAATCCGCAAATGATAAAAAAAAAACTTCCCCAACGTTTAGCCCAAAACTATTAATTTTCAATAGAATAAGGATTGAAATAGTTTGCTTCAAAATCTTTCAAGCCACTCTCATTTAATGAAGCTTATTTCTTAATCACGGGGAGTGGGGGTCTATCTAAACATGGGATTTCGGGTACAGTAGTGCAGCGTGGAAAAACACCCAAATTTCATAAATTAAAACCTTGAGAAAAAATCACGACACTTAATATGTTTCCGATGGCAAAATCATGACCCATTCATAGTTTTCTCAGTAATCACATATTATACAATATAAATAAGAAGATGTGGTATGATTGCTCCAAGTACAAGTTTTGATATCTTAATTTGAATAAAAACGATAAAACAGCATTTAAACAAACATCTATTATAATTCGGAGGATGCAAATTTACTGACCCACTGATATTGGACCTCAGTGAAATTCAGTGTATGCCATTTATACAATTTAAATATAAAAAGGGAACCTATTTCAGCGGCACGTCTGTGTATACCTTCATTTAGTCATAGAACCCCAAATCTAGATTGAGACCCACGTGCGTGTCCTCAACATCCCAGTTCTGAAATATAGTCGCATATATATTATTTATCTCAGGTGTACCACCCCTTTTTCTTTCTAGGGTAATATGTTACCGTAAAAACTTTTATCATTCAAAACGACGTGTGAAAACTTAACACTTAGACGGTAAGCACCGGTATGTGTGACCCGCCCTCCCCCCTGAAAATAAACGTTCGCCCCTCTGCCCCGGTTTCATTTGATTTGTTCCAACTAAAACAATGAAATTCAGATACATGCAAACTTTGCAACACACAAACATATTGTATTATAAGACATTTGGCAGAGATTTATGTTAAAATTATAAAAAAAAATATTTATTTCGTGTCATTTCGTTTCGTTTTGCGCTATTTCGTTTCGGTTTGTTTTGTTTCTTTCCGTTTCTATTTCGTTTCGCACTTTACAGGTACCCGTCGTATTCCTGACTTGGTACAGGCATTTCCGAGAGAAAACAAAATGGTGGGTTAAACCTGCTTTTATAGCTAGCTAAACCTCTCTGAGACTCTTGTATTGTTTATAGTTCCGTTATTTTGTATAAATTGGGTGAGCAACACAGACATACAAGGTTAATATGACAATAATTGGGATCCAGCAGCCAAAACTGTGTAAACATACATCACAGACATATAACACAACTGACTAAAAAATTCAAACAAACAAACAAATAAATCCAACAAAGACGTAAACAAAAAAGTTCTTGCTGTTGTTAGTGCATACTGTCCAAGGTTATGGATATGGATAACTCCCATATAAACAACATCGTATTAGTTCAGAACAGGGTTTTCTGTATGATGACTCCAAAACTTTATTTTCGGATAAATTGCTGTTTGCTTAACCTCAAATGGCAAATATGTCATGCATATATTGAAGAAGACAACACATTTACAATAAATAAAATATGTTGGCTTTACAAAGTGGCTCGATCGAGAAGGTTGGGGATTATAGACTGCCACGTGCAACAGAGAAAACATGGACACAAAACCTTTTTGTGGTCGTATATTGGTATGACGTTGGCGTCGTCGTCGTCGTCGTCGTCGTCCGAAGACACATTGGTTTTCGCACTCTAACTTAAGTTTAAGTGAATGGATCTCTATGAAATTTTACCATAAGGTTCAATACCACAAAAGGAAGGTTGGGATTGATTTTGGGGGTTATGGTACCAACAGTTAAGGAATTAGGGGCCAAAAATAAGCATTTTTGTAACGTCCGGACATAACTTGTGTTAGTGTATGGATCTCTCTGACATTGTACCACAAGGTTCCATATTACAAAGGGAATACTGGGATTGATTTTTGGGGTAATTGCCTCAAAATTTTAGGAATTAGGGGCCAAAAAAGGGGCAAAAAACAAGCATTTTTCTAGTTTCATGACAATAACTTGTGCGTAAGTGTATGGATCTTTCTGAAATTGTACTACAAGGTTCTATATTACAAAGGGAAAGCTGGAATTGAGTTTGGGGGTAATTGCCCAAAACGTTTAGGAATAAGGGGCCAAAAATAAGCATTTTTCTAGTTTCCAGACAATAACTTGTGTTCAAGTGTATGGATCTCTTTGAAATTGTACTGCAAGGTACCTCACCACAAAGGGAAGGCTGGGATTGATTTTGGGGGTAATTCCCCAAAACTTTAGGAATTAGGGGCCAAAAAGGGGCAAAAAACAAGCATTTTTCTAGTTTCAGGACAATAACTTGTGTGTAAGTGTATGGATCTTTATGAAATTGTACTACAAGGTTCCATACCACAAAGGGAAAGCTGGAATTGAGTTTGGGGGTAATTGCCTAAAACGTTTAGGAATAAGGGGCCAAAAAGGGGCCAAAAATAAGCATTTTTCTAGTTTCCAGACAATAACTTGTGTTCAAGTGTATGGATCTCTCTGAAATTGTACTACTTGGTACCATACTACAAAGGGAAGGCTGGGATTGAGTTTGGGGGTGATGAATCATAAGGGGGTTCAAAAGTTGGGGGAAGGGTTTTTTTTTTCTTTTTTTCCTTTTTTTTCCTTTAAAATTTTCCATTTTTAATTGGTTATTTCTGATTTATATATAAAAGCAAATAATAATGATATAGTTTGTATAGGTTAATTTAAAATTTATAAGTTCTTAGACCACATTCATTCTGTGTCAGAAACCGATGATGTGTCAAATATTTAATCACAATCCAAAGTCAGTGTGTATCAAGCTTGAATGTTGTGTCCATTCTTGCCCCAACTGTTCAGGGTTCGACCTCTGCGGTCGCATCAAGCTGCGCACAGCGGAGCATTTTATTAAAAGAAAATATGAACGTACAGAACACTAAATACCATGTATATTTCTGAGAAACAAAATTTATTGATATCTAAGGGCAACCATAGCAGCAACATTCCTTGTCCTCGTGGCAGAAAGCAAATAAACACTTCAGAATGTTGACACAAGCAGTGTTGCAAGTCAGAGGTGAAAATCCACAGTCTAAATCGTCTATACAAAAGGGCTCTGATACCTGTCTTCTAGCTGAAAAGAATATATCAATTTCTAAATCAAACGACTGTTTATGCAAATCATTTTAGCACGTACACAGGAAAAGTTTGAAATTGTTTTTTTTTATATTTTTATATATACAACTGGCATCTTAATTACAATTTGCAGTAATGAGTACAAACAAATGTATGATAAGTTGGTTAATATCCGGTTATTTCCCATACAGATATTTAGTGCTGCTTTTATATGTTATTTCTTTGAGTAAAAAAAACCTGAATACTGTAATAATTAGACACGTGATCAAAGGATATTGGCAACAGTTATGTGTCGGGCATAAAATAAAATACAAGCTATTTAGAAATATCTGCAAAAGGAGAGAGGTGACCGATTATTTTGTATATTTATAATATCCCATATTTCAGTTTTCTGCAAAGGAGAGAAAAAAAATGTTCTGTGCATTTTTTTTTTTCGAGTAATGTGAAACTCATTCTTAAGGCCTCGTTTAAATGCTTTACCACCTTTTAAATATTTTCAGTGGTCTAGCCAGTAACATCACTATGCCTACAAGTGTTCAACCCAATTTTCAGTCGATTATATGAAAAAAAAAAACTATGTTATCATATTGTGGCCGTCAAAATCCCTTAAAGTTCCATAAACATTTATTCTTTGGTTGCATGTACACAAGATGATAAAACAGATAATTTTGCACCCCCCTAAATAAGTAATAAATTTTGTAGACTATGTGTTTACCATACAATTATAACAAGACTTACATTTTTGAAGCAACTCAGAAAATCTTGCTATGTCGGCTGAAGCCATACCTGATATGACAAAAGTATAACAATTTGATATTTTCTTATAGTTTTGCATTACTTATATAAAACAGTTTATTTGATATTTTATTGTTAAATAGCCAAAGTAAGACTTAGTATACTAAAGTGCATAATATGCAGTGACTGAATTAAGAAATATACAATCTTTTCTCATAACTGGATGTATCAACTGGTATTGTCAAATGTTTTGTAGACAATATGCTTCTATATTTAGCCTCTATTATATGTTTATAGTCTTAGTATCTTAGCATTTTTCTTCTATTTAATCTTATTATGCCATTTTCTTGCGTTTTATGTCGTTTTTTTATATTTAGTATTTTATTATGCTAAATTGAGGTTTAAATGCTAGCAAGGAATGCATCGTACACTAAAAATCGTGCTTAGAAATTAAGCACTTAATTACATGTTTAGTGCTTAAAGTGTTTAGGATTGTGTTTATTATCTAAACACATTTCTCACTAAGCACATTAAATGTAAACGTGTCTTGTCGTTGAATTTAAAACACCAATTTCTAAGCTAAACACGATGCTATACACAATCTTAAACACGTTGTCAACCTAAACATGTTTAGAACTGAGACACATTTAGACAAAAACGTAAAAAAGAGCACAAAAGATGTGCTTAGAAATGTGTTTATGATCTCAACACAATTTATACAGTGTAGTATCGAATTCTTTGATTCAAGGTTATACTTTCTTTGTACCTTCTTTTTTTCCTCAAATCTGTTTTATATTCTTATGTTCATAAAATAATGCATCGCATCTTACCAATAATGAATAGTGACAGAATTAGTAATGTTAGCTTCATCTTCAAGTCGTCTTCTGAATTAATTCTGAAAAATAAATTTCTAGGAAAATAAATTCTTGATGATCGACAGGGAATAAATGCATTTAAACCTCAATTTAGCATACTAAAATACTAAGTATAAAAAATCACCTCTGTTTTTCATATTGATTCAACAAATATATTTGCAAACTTCTTTAAATGCCAAATCATCTGATTTATTATATTTTGTAGAAACGAGGGCAGGTTTTATAATTTTATAACAGACAGGAAGTTAACATTCCAGTGGACACTTAATGTTCGCAATAGTTATATGTAAAGGTTTTTCCCTGGTTCCTGTATTCGTTCGTTCAAAATACACCCCCCCCCCCCCCCCATAAAAAATGACAGTGCTTCATTTAAAATTTATCTGCATAAAGATGATTTACTGATGCATGATAGGTGTCTTATGGTCACCGTTCATCACGAGTTGGTTGGTCAATTCACTACAAGTGCCTTAAAGATGACTAAAAAAGTTTTCTCGATTTTATAGCCGACATAGAATTATTGAACTTCGCAAATTGTGCTACTACAAGCTGAGGCAGCGGGTGAAGAATGTGGAGCAATATTTATTTTGGTATAAAAGAGTATCCTTCGATGCCATATTCAAATTCCATGCAGTAGTTTTTAACAACTCTTAGGGTTTTTACACTGCGAGTGAAATTCAGGAGAAATTAGCCACTCCATTTATACATTTTTATGATTGTTGAACGCGTATGATGTTTGTGAAAGTTTTAAGAACTTACCTTGTTCTCTTTCACTCTTATATTTGATACAAAACCCGAACTTTGCAATTTCGGACTATATATATGTGCAAATAATACCTACATTTAAAAGAAAGTAAGCTGAGAATCTTCACCGATTACATACAGGCACTAATCAGATAACGGCGTCATGTATAAAATAGGTCGATTTCAAAATTTGTCTCAAAAATGTCTGATAAGCACGGTTTGTGCCAGTTTTAAGGCTAGGGCAATGAAATTAGAATGCATCAAGAAGATTAATCTCCATCTACTAAAACATTAGTAGATTAGTAGAAATAAAATGTTTTTATTACTTTCGTAAGTTGTGTGCCAGTCATATGAGTTTAGGGCTAGGGCAATGCAATTAGAATAATCTCCATCTACTAAAACATTTGTTTATTACTTTCGCAATATATTTTTACACAACTTGTATCATTCTCCCGTACAATTGAAGACGATAATTCCATTGGTGAATGGTCTTTCAAGCCTAATTTTAGTCGACGTTTAAGGGGTTCATTACATTTTAGACATTCCAAAAGAAAATGGTATCCAACTTTTTTACCGATATGCGTGTGATTGGTTTGAATATTTGTGAGTTTTCCTATGCAGCTCGCAAATAAAAGCACCGTTTAGGATAAATGTGTTAAAATTAATTCTTTACAAGGTATTAAAGATATGATGAGGCGACGTATATTTTTAAATTTGTCAGTATGATTTTCCATTTTTCGTCAGTTCTAGTCGTTTATCTAAGTGATATTCTTTAGCCTAAACCTACCATAACCTTGGCCGCGACAGTGGTGTAACAGCACAACAGTAACAAGCGTGTACACGCTGAAAAGGAATCGCCTGCTGTACTTATCATGATTGAATTTCATACCATATACCGAATATAGCAAGATATTGCTTATAGTACATTTATCCGAGAAACAGACATATCAAGGTCAGATGAACCTTGCCAGACAACATGAACACAATACAGTCATTCCAAACACCGAATATAGTTGACATATTGCTTATAGGATATGAGAACCGAAACAACCCTTCCCAAAAACCTAAAAATTGACAAATAAACAGTGAAAATGATGTCAAGGTCAGAGGAACCCTGCCAGACGGACATGTTCACCTAAAAATCATTCCATATACCAATTATAGTTGAGCTATTGCTTATAGTAACTGCTTAACATAAATCATGAAAACTCAATTTTGTCCAATGAACCATGAAAATGAGGTCAAGATCAGACGAATTCTGCCAGACAGACATGCACACATTATTATCATTCCATTCACCAAATATAGTGGCCCTCCAGATTATAGTATACATGTATGAGAAATAGGCCAAACTGGAAAAACTTAACATTGACCAATGAACCATGAAAAACGGTCAAGGTCAGATAAAACCTGCTAGACAGACATATACACCTTAAATCCAGAAAAGCACTTCGGACGCTTGAAATTTATAACGTGTTGTTTTTATTTCTACAGCACTTGGTCGATACCTCTGCTGGTGGACTATTAGTTCCCGAGGTTATCATCAGCTCAGTAGTCAGTACTTCGGTACTTCGGTACTGACATGATTTATAACAAACCTTTCTAAAATTGTCCGTTAATAAATTTTGAAATTGTTAGAAACTAAGGTTTCAACTCTATCACGCAAAGTTGACCTTAGATGGATTTGGCTATTTTTTTTTAGGTCCTTTTTGGTTATATAGCTCTTCAACTGTTTAGGTTCTTATACATCCTTGGCTTTCAAATATTCAGCTTTCAGCGTTCCTGATGAAGGTAAATCCAGAAAAGCGCTTCGGACACATCAAATTTATAACGTGTTTTTTTTCTTCATTTTTACATCAAATACAGCTGTACTATTGCTTATAGTATCTGCGAAATAGACCAAACAACAAAAACTTAACATTGACGATGAAAATGAGGTTATAGACAGATGATATCTGTCAGACAGACATATACAACATACAATCATTCCATACACCAAATATAGTTGATCTACTGCTTATAGTATTTAAAAAATAGACAAAAAAACAAAAAAAAAACAAAAAAAAAACAAACCAAAAACATCACATTCTAATGTAATTCGATTGTAACGATAATTGTCATTGGTATGTAATTTCTCGAAAAATGAACAAAAAAGTCACATTTGGTGTCTCGAAATCTTCTTTCTGTCAATATCTAAACCATTCAGAAGCGTACATACAAAGTGTAAATACGTCTAGTGTTTATGTTTGACATCGGGAGTATACCTATGACATCACATTGTTTAGAAGCCAACGGCGATGTAACAGTTTCGCTGACTTTTTAATTTTATGGCATTTCTAAGCCAAAATATTTACTAAAATAGAATTTATTTTAATATGTGGCATTAGAATGGAGATAACTGTATTGTATTTTAAGCTTGGTCTTCGTAAAACTTTTTTTTACTGTTGCAAATATCCGTTTACCTAGCTCTGCTACGCGTCGCTAGGTAAACTCAATTTGCAACAGTAAAATCTACGTTTTACAAAGGCCAAGCTTAAAATACGTAGGGTTAGAATAGCTATTGCAATAAAGACTCAACAAAACACATAACCAGTACATTTTTCAGATACATTGATTCATCACTCTTGTTATAACAAGAGATTCCCAAGAGCCTGAATCGTGCACCTGGAAAAATATATCGGCCATTTTGATGTATTTTTTTTTCTTTATGGCAACAAATTAGGGCGATCCATCCTATTACTTAATGTGACAATTTGGCCATGTTGACTTGCTTGCAGATCTATTTTGCTTTTGAACGTTTCTCTCTAACTCCAATTGTTTTTGACAAAAAATACAAAAAAAGATAAAAATCATCATTCACAGGAAATAACTTCTATAGGAGAGTAAGAATATTAATGCCTCGTTCACACGTACATTTAATTCGAATCGAATTCGCTAATCGCGTTCACACACTCTTCTTTTTTAATTCGAATTGATTCGAATTGGCTAAATCGCATTATCCAATTCGCATTAGAAATGCGTTTTTGTTAATACGAATTAAAAGTTAACGTCGTTAGGACAGTAAAGCGAATTTGACGCGCATTGCAATTCGAATTAGAATTTACATTTGAACGTTAAACGTTTTGAATGCGAATTAAACTAACTCGAATTAGTTAATGCGAATCGAATTCGAATTACGTGTGAACGCAGCATAAAATTACAGATTTTCATAAACACTTGGGTGTTACATTTAGTAGAGATGCTAAATGGAACACTCGTGTGGAAAGTATCATAAAAAATGTATCGAAACATTTGAATGTACTTAGAAAACTAAAGTACAGATTAAGTAGGAATAACTTAGAAAAGCTATACTTGACTTTTATAAGACCGTTACTCGAATACGCCTGTGAAGTTTGGGATAATATGGGTGTGGGTTATTGTAACAAATTAGAGCAACTGCAGCTTGAGGCAGCCAGAATTTTAATAGGTCTTCCTATTTTAACTAGTAGTAGAATTATTTATGATGAGATTGGTTGGGGAACTCTAGCTGAACGAAGAGAAAGGAGGAAGTTACAATTATTTTATAATATTCAACATAATAATGCACCAGCCTATCTTTGTAATTTAATTCCACCATCAATCCAAAGTACAGCTGTTTACCCCTTACGTAATGGGAATGATATAATATACCCTTTTTGTAGACTTTTCATTGACCCAAGAATCCTTCATACCTTCAACTATACGCATGACTGTGGAATAACCTTAATGTGGTGACCCGCAACATTGACTCTTTAGGTAAATTTAAAACCGAATTAAAAAATCTTAAAACTGAATTCAAAAGCCCAAGTACCTAAACATTATAAATTTGGCAATCGTAAACTCAACATCATTTTGACTCAACTTAGATGCTCAGCCTCTTTTTTGAATTATGATCTTAACAGAGTCAATATAATTTCAGATCCGTCTTGTAGCTGTGGTGCTAAGCGTGAAGATTCATTTCACTTCATTTGTGAATGTCCTAATTATACGAATATAAGAACCAAACTATCTAATTATATGAACTGGTTACCAGAGAACTCTCTACTAAATTTGAACATCTTAACCTCCGGTGATTCGTCATTAATTAATGATGAACATGAAAGAATTTTAAAGAATGTATATGAATTTATTAAAGAGTCAAAGAGGTTTCTAATTGTGTAATACAGCACACTAAAGTGCATATACATGTATATTGTGTATCTACAACCATTCACATCATCTTTTTACATATCCAATATATGAGGGGCCTGATGGGTTATTTTCGTTCTTCGTGATCGGCGCACTTTCGCTATCGTGATCCGTTTTTCTACAGATTTTTTTTTTTTTTATATTTTCGTGATCCGTGATCATGGAAATTTATTTTCTGTGAATCGTGAATCGTGATGAGACCCCCCCCCCCCCTATCATGCCCCTCATATATAATGTATTGTTTGCATGCATGCTTTGTAAAAAATTCTATTGTTATAAATTGTTCATGGGAGAAGACTTCATAAGTTTAACTTTTGCGTATACGGTTTCATAACATTTAGTTGAGGCAAACTTAAGTTAGAGAACGGAAACAAAAATTTCAGCAATTTTTCCATTTGTAAAGGGCACAACTCTAGAACTGTAAAAGTGACACCACCAAAATTCGAACTTGATCTGTGTTTTGTGGTAATTAGCATTGTGCATAAGTTTCATAACATTTGGCTGAGGCTAACTAAAGTTAGAGAACAGAAACGAATATTTCAGCATTTTTTCAGGGGCATAAAAATAACTATATTAAATTATAAAGGGTTTTTTTTCAGAGACAAGTGCCTGTGCATGTTGAATCTTGTAAATCTTATTGTGGCAAGTATCTGTGCATTTAACAATTTCTCTTCATCTATGATTTCTGCAAAAAACTGTATAAAACCATTCTACAAAGGCAATAACTTCTATTAGCAGTCAATTGACAATTTCTGTTACGTTGACTTTTGTGTAGATCTCATTTTGTTGAAAACTTCAGCTTTCCACAATTTCTTTCCATCTATAATAAGTGTCTGCCAAAAAATAAAAAAAAATGAGTATTTCAAGGGCAATAACTGCTTCTCTCTATTCTAGTTTCTGCAAAAAAAGAGAAAAATTATTTCTCCAACACCAATTACTCCTTTTGACAATTCGTCCACGATGACTCATTTGTAGATCTTATTGTTCTGATCATTTCTACTGTGTAAAATTTCTCTCCATTATAATTTTCAAGATAAGCAAAAACTGAAATTCAACATTTCAGAGGCAAGAACTCCAAAATGTGTAGTTCGATATTTCTGATAATTTCATAGATAGACCTTGACCTGCAGATCATTTTAACCCTGTCAGATTTGTTCTAACTGCTTTTGGTTTTTCAGATATCAGCTAATAAATGCATTTTATCCTCATGTTCCTACTTTTAGCTATGTTTGTCGACTGACCAGAATAAGCTTTATACTAAACATAAGGATCATGCAGATTGTTGAAATTGATCCAGTGATTTCAGAGAAGATATTTGAAAAAGTTTACACCATACTACGAACAGACAATGGACGCAAAGGGATGGCAAGAGCTCACACAGCCTTATCAATTAGGGGAGCTAAAAAACCATGAAAAATTTGTCAGCTGAATTGCCATACCAAGTTCAACAAGCATTCTGAGAGTATTGCATGGCAATACATAGTCCCCTACTGGTTAAATTTAATTGTACTGGAACAAAATGCTAACTTGATCTATAACTTGTCATGGTGTAAACTATATATAACAAATAGCAAGTCAATATCTTCAAGCATGACGAAAAAAGTGACGAAAACTGATAATTTAGGTAAATTGTCTAAGTCCAAGGACCATAACTCTGCAAAAAATCATCAAAACGAAACAAAATTTAAACTTGGTCTGTAACTTGTCATGATAAAACTATATACCAATTATCAAATCAATATCTTCAAGCATGACGAAAAAAGTATGGAAAACTGATTATTTGAGTGAATTTTCTAAGTCCAAGGACCATTACTCTGCACAAAATCATCAGACCGGAACAAAATTCGAACTTGATCTGTAACTTGTCATGATAAAACAATGTACCAATTATTAAATCAATATATTCAAGAATGACGGAAAAAAGTGTGGAAAACCGAATATTTGAGTTAATTTTTAAGTCCAAGGACCATAACTCTGCACAAAATTATCAGAACGGAACAAATTACGAACTTGATCTGTAACTTGTCATGAAAAAACAATATACCAAATATCAAATCAATATCTTCAAGCATGAAGTAAAAAAGTGTGGAAAACTGATTTGCCGGACTGACAGGACAGACAGACGGACGGAGTGCAAACCTAAAGTCCCCTTTGACTTTGTCGGTAGGGGACTAATAACCTACCATTCTGAGAAAAATTCTAATCATATGCATATCTTGAATGCAATGTGACATCTCAATAGAATATTCCTCATTTAGATGAAAGTAAGTAATGCTGTTTAACTTCTAGTGGCAAACTACTGTGGATTCATTAACCTTTGCTGGATACTAATTTTTGTGGATAAAGGTAAACCTTGATGTTAAACGAAGTATAAATTTTCCATTAATTTGTTTGCAGACTGGCCAAATCACAAATCTCAATTTTCATTTATCCATGAAAGTAAATGCTTTTTCAGGACAAGAACATGTTATTGTGATATATATGAATATGAACCCTGCTTTTTACTAGTCCAACACACCTCGTCATATTTTTCTTGGGCTAGTTCATAAGGTAGGCATCAGTCCACAGGAAGATATCTCGCTCTACCTGGACACATTTTTCTGACTCTTATTCCTAAATGCTGAGTCCTTAGTGGAGAAGCAGCAAATGATTATTTTCAAGTCTTTTATTTGAGCAAGCCAGGGATTAAACCCACAACCTTCTGCATTGGAGACGGGGACACTGTCAAGAGACCGCAGAGGCAGAACACATCATTAAGACGTCCTCAACTAGATAAGCAATGAGGAAAGTTTCAGATTGGTAAAAGACCTTGGCAGTATCATGCTATTTTTTTCAGTTCATTCGAAGATGCTCGACACTCAATGTGAGTCCTTTGTAGAATGAAAATTAAGGAAAATAAATAGCTGCACTAGCACTATATAAAGCCCGACGTAGACATATGCATTATGAACTAGTTGCAAGAATGAAATGGATTATGGTTCAAGGCATTAAATCACAAGTCAGTAAAATGGCCCTGAAGAAAAAACACAGAGGATAGATATCCTTAGGTGTTTAAAAATTGCCTTAAATTTGACAGTTCAGGTCCAATAAGTCTGGAAAAGCAAATCAGAAAATTTTCAAAATCATAAAGTAGTTTTTTTCCACCAATCCATATTAAAAACTGTGTAGAGTTTGGCACACAGCACAGTGTTTCACATTTTGTCATGTCAGGGAATTTTATAGCTGACCTTATGGTGTGGGTTTTGCTCATCGATGAAGGTTGTACTGTGACCTATATTTGCTTAAATCCACGTCATTAGGATTCCATTGGACAGCTGTCTCTTTGGCAATCATACAAAATTTCCTTATTTTATACAAAATGTAAGAAATTGACTTAAACTAACACTTAAAACTCCCATAACTCTTGATCGACAAATTGGAAAATTTTCAATACCAAAAAGATTCTTTTATAGAGTGAAATATTTCACCCAAGTTTCATGAAATTTTATCAAAGCATTCTCTAGCTTTTGTATGAAGCTTGGACTAACAGACCACCAAAAGTATACCATAATACTGCCTGTATATGACAGGAATATACAAATTATCACCATTTTATAATTATTCTTATAAACCATGTATTGACAACTTGAGTGGCTTATTTAAACTAATTAGCACGATGTACACTTGAGAATGAATAACAAACAACAGTGTACTCCACATGTCTATATTAATAAATTATCGTTTTCCACCAACACGGGGTTTTGCTGCTGGAGCGGACTTCATTGCCTTCATACCACCTTTCACTTTAGGTGCTGCAGCCTGTAAATATAGATTAAAAAATTTTGAACCTCAGCAATAATAATGAGCACATCTAATGAATCATTGTAAAAATTTGCATTTCATACAGTTGAAATAACCACTGATGAACATGAATGTTTCCCAATCACTTCCACTGAATTGTAGACATAGTATTTAATGTTTAAATTGGAAAACTAGGAAAGCCATGTACCTATAAACAGATTTTTCCCATTACTTAATCAAATTAAGTGGTATAGGAAGTGTTAGTAAAGGCTTCAAAAGTAATAAATCATTCAAAATCAGATTCTTTTAACTACATCGCTTATTTTGCAGTGTAAATATATGAACTCTGACAATTAAATTCTGTTGAATATAATAAAAGGTATAATGTTAAAAATTTCTTAACAAGGTTATTAAATGGTTATGTCATGTATGTAGTGAATGAATTTACTGTGACAGCAACTGGTCAGGTGTTCTTTTCATAATAATTATTAACAACTTAAATAATTCAAATACAAATGGAGATCATCTTGGTTTTTCATTTGTATTTAGTAAGCAGTACTTCTAAGGACAATTGAATGAATGTTGTGGTCACAATTTTTATTTCCCTCTGTATATAACAGATATTGTGAAGTACATATAAATATCTACTAAAGAGAATACATATAAATGAGAAAAATTTCTATTGACAAAATTTTTTGCTAAAATTGTTATTAATGTTAATTTGTATGACAATTAGAATTTTTTAAATTTCATATCAAACCATAAATAAAATTTGGATTTCTTAATTTTTCAAAATTAATTTTCAAAGGTTATGAACTCAAACAGACTTGACTATTCACAAACTCCTCTCTTAGTCCCAAAATAAAATGGATAATGGAATTAATGAAATGAGGGTGACAGCAACTGGTCAGTTGTTTCTGAATCCTGGATATTTATTTCAAGTGTATTATATAAACAAATAAATAATCAGTAAGTCCCCATTAAAAAAATAATCATTAGTTATAACTTATTTTATAGTGTAGAAAGATTACAACAGACAGGTACATAATTTATTAATACTATAATGAAAGGGCACCTGGAAAATATTGGATCAATATACACAAGCTTGACTTTACCTTCTGTTGTTTCTTTTGGGCATCCTTTGCCTTTGTTTTTTCTTTTGCAGCTCTGTGAAAAGAAAAATAAACATGGCTTACTTACAACATTCAAACATTCAAAAATAATTCATCTGTTGGAAGTGTCAATTTTTGTAAGCATCCACAATTTGGCAGAAAATCCAGCTGAATTGTTATTTTACCATATTAAAATAAGGAGATTTGGTATGATTGCCAATGAGACGTCTCAACTATCCACCATCCATGTCTATTCCATAAAATGTTTAACAATTAAACAGACCCTTCATGAATAAAACAGGCCAAGAACTTGCAGCTGACATGCCTGGATATGTGTCTTATGGAAGATTAAAATGTGTGCCAAACAAATTTCTCTTTGTTTTAAACAAAAGCTTTTGAATCTTTGGAAACTTCTATCAGGACGTTATTTGGTATATGTAGAAATAAATCATCTGTCAATTTCCATTGCTACATACACTTACATTAATTTATAAACCATGTATACTGTCAGACATATATATATATGATGTCAAAAGGATATTTGCTTTCAGCTTACAACTATCTTCAAAGTATCAATGTGTAAGCCCTTTAAGTATTGTGTTTAGAAAATTCAGATCAGTCGACTATTACACAATGTACTAGGTACTTACATAAAATCTATAAATTATGTTATTAATATAAATGAATATAATCTACTGTCATTTTCCAGACTTCGTGATAAACTTTAAAAACTACAGGCCAAAAGCCCAACTTTACGAAAATTTTAGATAAGATTCACTTGGCCTGTAGATGACTTAGACCAGAAAGAAATTTTTAACACCTGGGCTGGTGGTCCTGTGGTTGAGCATGAAGACTGAATTCTCCATTACTGGATAATAAATCAAAAGATATTTAACATTTTCAGTCAAAGGTAACTAATAAATCAACCTGAGCATAAGCAAATATTTCAATCCGTAACAAACCTTATGGCTTGTTCTCTTTGTGCTTTACGAACTTCTGGCTTTTGGTTTCTTTTAGCCATAATGTCTGTTAAAGTTGCTCCAGTGATGGCTCTGGCAAACTTTTGTGTCCTACGAGTCCTTTTCTTTGCAACTTCTTCCATCAAACCCTTTTTGTGTTTCCTACGATACAATACTGTCCAGTTAATGTTACGAGGGTTCCTTTTCATGGAGTGGTTTGCCTCGGTTTTACTACTGACAAAGTTGAAAACCTGTATGAAATTAAAAAAAATTCTCTATATAATGATTTCTGTTTAATTAGTTACAAAATTTCGACATAATTCCAGAAATGTCTGCAATAGGACTAACATGCAGATGATTAACATCCAACTAGACGGAGTAATGTGACATACAATGTATTGTATTTGATTATGTAATGGATACCTTTAGATTGAGATAAGTAAGAATATGGCTTTCATATGCAATAAAAGCATAAAAAGGCTCTTAAAGAATATTTTCTACATCCTCTTTCCCTCTAATGTGACATCATCAAATGAGACTATTGCATGACCAACACATCATCTTTCTGGAGCACTTGAGATCACTCCAGGTTTTTGGTTAGTGGGGTTCATGTTGCTCAAGTATTTTATGTTGTGTTTTGTTAACGTTTTTTTTAATGGTCATTACCATTTTGAGTTAGAATATCCCTTAGGTATCTCCTGCTTCTCTTAGGCCAGGGAAATATGATTGTTGGTTTCCCTTAACATGGGAAAATTTTCAAGGCCTGGCAGGTAGGAGTTTTATTTTTGGTTGCTATAGACTGCGTGTACATGTAGAACAAATATTTATTTACTTGAAAACTGGTATTAAACTAAGGTGACTAATAACATAAAGATCTGGAGTCCATGTATTCAATCTTAATAGAATAAATAGAATACTGGCGCTTGGTGCCGAGGTGGCCATTTTGAGGGATCTAAACAACAGGGAAGCAAAACTCTTATAATCATTGATATCTTTCCAATCAGTTAAGTGCTTCTGCAATCTAGAAACCCAGGCGGGAAATAATTTCCTTGACATTGTTATGCTTCTAAACAACAAAACTGAAACGTATATGTAAAAATATTTGATTAACATTGCCGGCACAGCCGTTTATTTTTTTTTAGTTGAAATAAAATGCTCCCGCTGGGGCGCAGCTTGATACGACCACAGAGGTCGAACCCTGAACAGTTGGGGTAAGTATGGACACAACATTCAAGCTTGATACAGCACTGAATTTGGATTGTAATTAAATATTTGACACAGCATAGGTTTCTGACACAGAATGAAAGTGGTCTAAGAACTTAAAAAATTTTAATTTACCTATTTAAATCACATCATTATTATTTGCTTTTATATATAAATCAGAAATAACCAATTTAAAATGGAAAATTTTAAAGAAAAAAAAAATCCCCCCCAAATTTTTTGAACCCCCTTATGATTCATCACCCCCAAACTCAATCCCAGCCTTCCCTTTGTGGTATGGTACCTTGCAGTACAATTTCAGAGAGATCCATACACTTGAACACAAGTAATTGTCTGGAAACTAGAAAAATGCTTGTTTTTTTGGCCCCTTTTTGACCCAAATTCATAAACGTTTAGAGCAATTACCCCCAAACTCAAACCCAGCTTTCCCTTTGTGATATGGAACCTTGCAGTACAATTTCATAAAGATCCATACACTTACACACAAGTTATTGTCCTGAAACTAGAAAAATGCTTGTTTTGTGGCCCTTTTAAGGCCCCTAATTCCTAAAATTTTGAGGGAATTACCCCCAAAATCAATCCCAGCCTTCCCTTTGTGGTACATTTATGGTACCTTGCAGTACAATTTTAGAGAGATCCATACACTTGAACACAAGTTATTGTCTGGAAACTAGAAAAATGCTTATTTTTGGCCCCTTATTCCTAAACTTTTTGGGCACTTACCCCCAAACTCAAACCCAGCTTTCCCTTTGTGATATGGAACCTTGTAGTACAATTCATAAAGATCCATACACTTACACACAAGTTATTGTCATGAAACTAGAAAATGCTTGTTTTTAGCCCCTTTTTGGCCCCTAATTCCTAAAATTTGGAGGCAATTACCCCCAAAATCAATCCCAGCATTCCCTTTGTGATATGGAACCTTGTGATACAATGTCAGAGAGATCCATACACTTACACACAAGTTATTGTCATGAAACTAGAAAAGTGCTTGTTTTTATTGCCCCTTTTTGGCCCCTAATTCCTAAAATTTGGAGGCAATTACCCCCAAAATCAATCCCAGCATTTCCTTTGTGATATGGAACCTTGTGGTACAATGTCAGAGAGATCCATACACTAACACACAATTTATGTCTGGAAGTTACAAAAATGCTTATTTTTGCCCCATAATTCCTTTACTGTTGGTACCATAACCCCCAAAATCAATCCCCACCTTCCTTTTGTGGTACTGAACCTTATGATAAAATTTCATTGAGATCCATTCACTTAAACTAAAGTTAGAGTGCGAAAACTAATGTGTCTTCGGACGACGACGATGCCGCCAACGTCATACCAATATACGACCACAAAAATTTGTTTGCGATCGTATAAAAATTAAACGACCTGGCTGTTTAAAATAGACCCGGTCGGGTTGGAGGAAACCAACAATCATTTTTCCCTGGCCTTATACACTATTTGGAAATATAACATATCGCATTAAATAATTTTCTCAAAGAACCTTTAATTTTAATTATGACATGTTTATCTGTGTGCTTCTGAGTCTCTGTTTCAGCTGCTTCATATACATATGATTTGTCTTTCAGAAAAAAATATCAAATATCTAAAATTTAAAAAAAAGGCTCATATCAATGATCTAATAATAAACCATGCCACAACCGGACTTTAAATGTAGTGCTGTTTATTTTACAATACAAGGATTCATAATTTTTACTATTGTTTAATTGCAATTTGCTGTTATAAAATTTTGGAATTTACAGTTAAGAAATATATACATTGTATCTCCCTCCTGCAAAGCTCGGATTCCTTGTTTGTATTTGGTTATACCTTATATATAATTAGATCCTTTTTTGTTGATCAGCTCTTCATTGAGTCAGTTTTGGTTATTCAAAATATATTGGCTTCAAGTCTTACTGAAGTGACATTTATTTTCGAAAATGCACATCTGGTGCAGTAAAATCGGTACCTTTAATGTTTATACTCACCCTACAGTCAATTTTGACCAATCTTTTCCCATGGCCTGGGTATATTTTATAGCCGCTAAATGCACAAAGTTCGACCCTACAAAAATAAAATATAGTTTTATCTAATACTCTTTACATTACCATGATTGCTATATACATGTATCATCATTGTCTTTGATTCATGTCCGTCATATTTGTTTTTTTGTAAATTGTTTTGTTATAAATTAGGCCTTTAGTTTTCTCAACTGAATAGTTTCATATTTTTCATGTTGGGGCCTTTTAAAGCTGCCTTTAAGGTAGGAGTTTTACTCATTGTTGAAGGCTGTAAGGTTGGATATGCCTATAATTGATTACATCCACTTAATTTGAACTTTGGTGGATAGTTGTCTCATTGTCAATCATACCACATCTCCTTTTTAGTCCCCTACCGACAAAGTATGAATCCGTATTCATGTGAACTTCAATTTAACCCCTTAGCTAGAGATGGATAACACTTGAATTGTATGTGTAAAGTTATTTAAAGGAAAAGAATGTCAACATTGAAAGTGAAACTAAGGTAAATCATTTGATTGACTGGTCCGATCCACAAAAATCATTCTTATACAGGTAAAAACGATGATAAACATATATTTTTAATCTATAATATGAAATTAAACAGACCTAGAAAAATCCAATAGCAATCTATTTATATAGATGTGGTATGAGTGCCAATGAGACAACTCTCCATCCAAGTCAAAATTTATAAAAGTAAATCATTATAGGTCAAAGTACGGTCTTCAACACGGAGCCTTGGCTCACACCGAACAGCAAGCTATAAAGGGCCCCAAATATTACTAGTGTAAAACCATTAAAACGGGAAGACCAACGGTCTAATCTATATAAAAAACGAGAAACTCTTATGAACCACATCAACAAACGACAACTACTGAACATTAGATTCCTGACTTGGCCTTAGGACAGGTGCAAACAATTGCAGCGGGTTTAAACCTTATAATGGTACCAAACCTTCACCCTTTTTCTGAAATATTAGTGTACTTCCATGCATTTACTATTTGGATTGTAATTGTATACCTTTCAATATAATTGTTTTTAAACTATATCATGTGTCTGATCATGAACATAGTTTCATCTTATTGCTTCATTTATCTTTATTTTGATCATTCTATCTTATGTATCAGTATGCCCTACAAGGTCTTCGAATTGGAAATAAAATGTGATTAAAGTTTTAAATGGAAAAAAAGAACTGCATTTCAGAAGAATTTGACAACTTGTCCTATCAAGTCATGAAGCTAGACATAATTATATGCTTTTCTATCCACTTTTTCGATTAAATATAAATTGTGGGAGTTAGAGTTAGTACAATCTATCTTTGTGTCTAAAAGAAACTTTAGATGCCCGCTAATCAAAGAGATTATGAACGATTTATGTAGGACTGCTATATATCAACATACTTCATGTTGGCTACCGGAAGAGAAAGATTGCACAATTGATCAATCCTATGACCGAAAAATTCAATTCTAAAAATGTACAACGTATTTAAAAGTAAGATGACTTTTTATTTAATGAAATATTTAACTATTTTACTGGCAGCATAAGGATATAATCAAACACATTACTTAAAATTTTTATTTATAACAATTAACATAAAAAAATCATAATTAAGACGAAAAATACTTTACATTTTGGGTTTTTACATAAATCTGGAATCCCCTTTGTAGCTAATTATAGATATTACAGGAAAATAACATCTGAAAAGCGTTTTAATATAAGCGGTATTTTCATTGTCAATCAAAAAACAATTTTGATTGAATCATCATCTTCTGACAGTTGACGAATCTCTAAATCGAAGAAAATCATATTGTTTCTGCTTATTTTGTGTGTTTCTGTAATTTCCACCCACACACGTCTAATTTAAGTAAAATACAAACGCCCAATATAAGTGAAAATGGCATATTTATACTGTCTGAGATGAAAAAAACACGTTTACCTGCAGTACACTGTTGGCCAACATCAAACGGATATACAGTTCAACAAAAGCTGTTTTAACAAAGTGCAGATTTTGACCAATCTACTACAGAAATTATGGGGAGTAATGAACAGATGCTTAAATCTTACCTTAGTAAGGTATGAAATATTGATTTAATATATGAGGCAGGTGGTTGATATGTGAGCCAAAATTTGTTCCTGTGAAAAAAGTTCCAGTGGAACTAATATCACAGGAAATATGTTCTGGGAGAACTTTTTTCACAGATGATTTCTATATAATTTGTTCCATCTCTATAAAATAAGTTCCAAACTTTACCTGGTGAAATAAGTACCGGGTTGGTGAAATTTGTTCCTTACCTGGTGAAATAAGTTCTGGGTTTATGAGATTTGTTCCTTATCTGGTGAAATAAGTTCTGGGTTTGTGAGATTTGTTCCTCACCTGGTGAAATAAGTTCTTTGTCTGTGAAATATGTTCCACTGGTTAAACAAGTTATCTTATATACTGAGCATTTGTCATCAGTGAGTTTAAAGTTATCATTCAAGTGCATTATAAAAATAAGTATTATATCAATAATAAAAAAAGTAAAAAGTGTAAATCATCCAATTCGGATCCTGTGGAGTATAGCAAATGTTTAATTATATACTCCGTAAAAAATATCAAAATGACACTTTTCAGCCAGAAAAGAGTAGAATAAGAAAAATTCGTAAGGGTTCCGCGGAACCCAGTGTCTCGCCTACTTATTCTGTTAATCGCAGGCTCAACAAAAATGAGGAAGTAAATCAATAAAAATATTCCTCTTGATACTATCTTTTGATTGTAAGAAGCTTCTGTCCAAGTTTGGTAAAAATCCAGGATAGTTTATGAATCTAATAAATGTTTAAAAACTTTAACTGCAGACCGAATGTAATGTTAACTGGAAGAAAACAAAATTTCCTTCTAGATACTAGCAATTGATCATAAACAAGCTTCTGTCCAAGTTTGGTACAAATCCAAAATAGTATCAGAAAGTTATTAAAATTTTAAAAACTTTAACCACAGAGTGTATGTGTTTTTTCCTGGCAGAAAATCTAAGTCCATTTAAAAGTAAAATACTGAAAAAATGGATTTATTTTTTTACAAAATTTCCTTCTAGATACTAGCTTTTGATCATAAACAAGCTTCTGTCCAAGTTTGGTACAAATCCAAAATAGTATAAGAAAGTTATTAAAATTTTAAAAACTTTAACCACAGAGTGAATGTGTTGTTTCCTGGCAGAAAATCTAAGTCCATTTAAAAGTAAAATAAGGAAAAAATGGATTTTTTTTTTTTACAAAATTTACTTCTGGATACTATCTTATGATCATAAACAAGCTTCTGTCCAAGTTTGGTAGAAACCCAGGATAGTTTAAGAAAGTTATAAAATTTTTAAAAACTTTAACCACAGAGTGAATGTAATATTTCCCGGCAGAAAAACTAAGTCCATTTATAAGTAAAATAAGGAAAAAATGGAATTTTATTTTTACAAAATTTACTTTTGGATACTATCTTATGATCATAAACAAGCTTCTGTCAAAGTTTGGTAGAAATCCAGGATAGTTTAAGAAAGTTATTAAAATTTCAAAAACTTTAACCACAGAGTGAATATTTGTGGACGCCGCCGACGATGCCGACGCCGACTGAATGTAGGATCGCTATGTCTCGCTTTTTCGACTAAAGTCGAAGGCTCGACAAAAATCAATCATTCAGAAAAAGAGTATAGTTAAAGATGAACATATGTACTTATTTGAAAAGGACAAAGTGACTGATCAGTTATATCAAAAGACATGTAGAAACAAAAGACCTAAGTACATGTATGACTAGAACACGCGGCCATGACAGTTAACAAAAACCAAGGCGGAATACCACATAAAACATAAATACAAATTATGCTACATTACCATCGCTTTTATTTCTTATCTTCATCCTTTAGTTACAGTCATGCCTTCAATTGCAAATGTATTCCATGCAAGCACACTCAGTACAGCACTCAGCTTGCATTATAATTTAAATGTAGCAAGAAAATATTTCGCTTGCAATTTGTTGCAAAGGTACTTATTTTCTGTGAAAATAGGTTTGAGCGGAACTTATTCATTGATTTCTATGAAATATGTACACGTTCGTTTAAAACAAATATCACAGAAACTTATTTAACTTTTTAAAACTCTTAATATTAATTGGAAAAAAATTCATGGAGCTATGAATTTTGTTCCGGAACTTATTTCACATTTGGTCATAAAATTAGTTCCGGAACAAATTTTACAGTGTTGGAACATATTTTCTGTGATATAAAGTCCAGTGGAACATATTTCCTATGAAATTTGTTCCGGGGGATCAAATGTCACGCCGGAACAAATTTTTTGTTACAGTTTGAGTTGGTTGATACTGCTAGTGCATGTATGACCCATTTAACATATTAATGTTATCCTTAGGGGCTGGGGATCTTTTGGGTGTTTGGTGGTGTTCAAGTTCATAGACGAGATCATTATACAGAAAACATAAGCTCTATTGAGCTTTTATATCGTCTTATAACAAACAAAACATCTAAAACGTGCACGTTTAAAACAAAGCAAGCATGCTACACACACAAAAGCTACACAAAGCAAAACATTACATTGAAGCATACATATACAGTATACATGACATGAAGAAGTTAAGACAAGTATGTAATACCATGCAGAAATATTAAAAGTACAATAAGTAACTCAATATTAATAACATATAAAGCACTTTAAAACACATAAGCAATTACAGCACATTAAGCAGAAAAAAGCACTAAAAATTAAAGCATTAACTATTTGCAGGCAATCAATCAAAAATGAGAAAAACCCATACAGTATACTGGTATACATTTGTAGTTGGCTTTAAAAGGCCCTTCTAAGTCAGCTGGCAATATTAAAGGTATTCTTTAGAGATTACCATGATTGCCAACTGACAAAATTTCCTGGTCAGTTGCCATTCACATGCGAGGGCTAATCTAAAGAAACTTAATTTTTTGTAAATAATAATATCAGTTTTTTTGAATTTTGAAAACTTTCTTCTTTTTTCCAAAGTTTGATTTTTTTATATTATTCAATTTTGTCCACTATTGTAATTTCAGTACAAGTATGCAGACATAGCAAAGAAAGATATATTAGGTGTTTTTTCACAATATAAGGACTTGAGACCAACTCATGGCCCATTCAGTAAGTATATTATATGTGTTATTTAACTTATCTATCCTTCTACTATTAAGATAGGTAGCACAGATTGGTGATTGCTTTACGTCACATCAGCACAAAAAGGCTATATCGCTGCGAGAGCTACAATTTGAATTTCAAAAATTTAACTGCATTCTTTTAAAATGTTTAATGGTATACATGTACTACTACTTGCAATTGCAAGGTTGTAGCTTTTTTGCATTGATTTATATTTTTCTTAACAAAAGGTTTCATATATTAAGTAAATAATATAATACATATGAATGAAAGGAGTACTTGTCAATGAGATGCCACCCGATTGACACAATTACATTTTGTAATTAAAAGACATCTAGAAGTCAACATACATGACATACAGTCTTCAAAAAATAAACAGGTTTACATGTCTTTACAAAAGATCAAGCTGTTAATCACATTGAGTCGAAAAAAAATTGTGAATAAATTATATATGATTAAGATATGACTTAGTTGGTCTTGACTTGCAGATACATGTACATGCAAAATTCAGTATGAAGAGTTATCTAGATTAATATTTGAAGTTAAAAATCTAAGCATCAAAAGTGAGAAATCAAAGCAAATTTAGAAAATGCTAGGGGCTAGGGGAATAAATGGATAATATGTGGGGTATACATCACTAAGACAGCTTCCCAAGGATAAAATTAAAGGAAAGAGGGGACAATACACAGGTGTCTACACGATATTTCAAGTTGTAAATCGGGCCTGGTCATAAAAGAACAATCTGGAAAGTAGTACATATTTATAACAAAATAGTTCCTACATATATGTGTAAATATCAATCTGTGTAGAATATATTTTAGTAATTAAGGTATCAAATGAAAGGTGAAGGACTGGCCATGGTGATCCTTGTAGAACATATATTGACTAATAATTTTGAATAATACAAAAATGTATGAATGAATTCTAAAATTGAGGGCATATATTGCCTGTTTCTCAGATATGAAACTTGTACCTAGTTTGAACATATTTTATTTGCTTAAATATGCAAAAGGGATGAGACACAAGTTAATCAAACTTATAAAGTCTTCTCCCAAAAGAAGACAACCACTGACGAGGTTCTTGATTTGGGATAGGCACATGAATATGTGGAGGGGTTAAACTAATTTTTGTTCAGTACTCAAACTTATTACCTCCCCCTTTTAATCTCAATCAGTGGACTCAAAAATGTACATAATAGAACATATAATAAAAATGCTTACAGGAAAAGCTCTTAACTCTCAAATAACAGTATAATAGATAACAAAAACACAAAAACACAAAATAATGATCAATATTATAGAGTAGATATTAAGAATACTAGTAGTTTCTTTAAGCAAGTTCAAAGAACTATACAACTATCCTTCTGATAATAACTTATGCTGTCTTACACTCAGATGCTGTACATCAAATAGAAGATCTCATACAACAACTTCATGAATAGAACAGATATAGACACAATCTTGTTCAATTCCCAGAACAAACTATTCAGAAAAAAAAAAAAAATGAAATTTTAGTATTGCTTTAAACTAAATTTAGAAGATTGATGTCTATCTGTGTTGTGGAAGTTATTTTAAAATACTGTACATGTAGATTCAGTAATTAATGTGTGCATTTATTTTTGTGAATCACATTTGCCTAGTAAAAATGCAAGTTTTAATTAATGTGATTGCCAAAATTTTGTGAAGGAAAATCACTACTGAAATTATAAATGCGAGATTTTATTATTTGCGAACCTCATACTGTCAATTTTTTTCGCATTAATAAAAACGTGGCAATAATTTTTGAATTTACAGTAAATGTTTTCCAAATTCAAATACATATAAAAATAAGAAGAAGGGGTATGATTGCCAATATGACAACATTTCACCAGAGACCAAATGACATAGAAGTTAGCAACTATAGGTCACCACTCGGCCTTCAACTACATGCAAAACCCTTACATAACGATAAAACTAATGGACTGATTCATGTATAAAACAGATATTGTGTTTATCCACAAACGAAAACCATGTATTCTTTTACTTCAAATATTAGTTTGTATACAAATATGTTTACACAATAAAAAAAAAAGATTTTTCTGCTTTATGTCACAATTAGCTCTTGTTCTTGTCTTCAGTTTGTATTCTCAGAAACTGTGAAAATTGATTTTTGCAAAATTGATTCTTCTTTTGTGTATGGATTATTCACTAAACAGAGAACTCGAAATGTTTCTTTTTATTTCAGTATTTAATGATGGTTCACAAAAAGATCTAGTAAACCTAGATGGAACTATACCTGTAAATTACAGAGGTAATATATATTCATTGCTATGTATTCCTTAATAATGTACTTTAAACACAGATTTTAGGGGGGTTGGTGGCTGAGAGGTTTAAGTTATTAAGTAGTTCATCTAAAGTATCACTAGCCTGAGGTTGAATGTTGGAACCCTGCATGTGGCAGGTGTGTTCAACTCTTAATAGTCTGATCTTAATTGACTAGAATTACCAGTTTGCCTGTTGAAGTTGGTGGTTCTCTCCAGGCGTTCCAGCTTCCTTCACCAATAAAAACTGGCCCCTACAATACATGTATAACCAAGAGTGCTCAAGGTGGTGTTAAACACCAACAATCAAGCAATCAATCTCTACAAAGTAATTCTCTGCTATTTATGGAAAAAATGTATGATATCCCTCAGTCTTTTTATTGTCGAGCCTGCGAGACTTTTGTGGCAAAAGCAAGACATAGCGATCCTACATTCTGTCGGCAACGACGGTGGCAGCAGCATCCACAAATATTCACTCTCGTTAATGTTTTTGAAATTTCAATAACTTTCTTAAAATATCCTGGATTTGTACCAAACTTGGACAGAAGCTTGTTTATGATCAAAAGCTAGTATCTAGAAGGGAATTTTGTAGAAATTTATTCCCAATTTTTCCGTTTATTACTTATAAATGGACTTAGTTTTTCTTCCAGTTAACATTACAGACAGTCTGCAGTTAAAGTTTTTAAAACATTTATTAGATTCATAAACCATCCTGGATTTTTACCAGACTTGGACAGAAGCTTCTTACAATCAAAAGATAGTATCTAGAAGAAAATTTTTAATAACTTTTTCCCCATTTTTGTTGAGCCTACAACTTTTTGAGCAAAAGTAGACACTGGGTTCCATGGAACCCTTACAAATTTTTCTTTTAGAAATTTTTATAGGCCAGAAACTCTTCAGTTTTCCAATTTTCGTTTTGATACATATAGCTTCAACAACTAGTAGGTATATAAACCTGATAATCTAGCAGTTGCTGAGTTTAACTGTACTCAAATACTTAATAGAGAACAGGCTTCTGGCCATTTACAGACAAGCATTTATTTCTATCATTGTATGGAAAAGGAATAGGTTCGACAAGGCCATAAAAATGGCCCCTATTTCTGGCTACATTTTCAAATTAGGATTTATTGAAGTCACAAAAAAAGTCATATAGCACTTATTTTGATTTTCTTGAAAACTCAATGAAAATAGGTAAATTTACATTAATTTTTTGGGCAGGAAACATAGAACGCAAGCGTCGACATTAAAGATCTTTTTAACATAATGTTTGTTATAACATTTTACATATCTGACTTAAATATTTAGTTTGTCAAAGCCTGAGCTCTATATTTCCTAGGCTTAAATTTTGTTGAATTTCAGACAATTTTGTCAAATTTCACGAAAATCTCTATTTTTTGCCTATTTGGAATGTAAAAATCAGCACTCAGAAATAAAACTTTGACAAAAATAGCTGTTCAACTTTCGCACATGTCTTTGCATCAACATAAAGCATTCTTTATCTTGAAACATTGAACTTAATAATCAGGGCGAAATATGGCCCATACCGAACTAACTCATTTGTACATGTCAAAGGTTGATTGGTGGTTTCAACAGATCCGTGGAATATTTTTCCTGAAAACTTCTTCCTTCTGGAAAGTAATGTAAAGACACTTAAATAATTATTGACAACTGCTATTAATTGTTTGTGACATTTTTTACAGGTAATATTTACAACATACCAATTGGTATCTTTATACTTGACACTCATCCATACAATCCTCCAATATGCTATGTCAAACCTACTAATACCATGCAAATAAAACAGGGAACCAATGTAGATGCCAATGGTAAAGTGGATTTACCATATCTCAGAGACTGGAGATATGTAAGTATTATTTAGAGATTAACCATTTCTCAGAGACTGGAGATATGTAAGTATTGTTTAGAGATTAACCAAATCTTAGAGACTGGAGACAGATGTATGTAAGTATTGTTTAGAGATTAACCATATCTCAGAGACTGGAGATATGTAAGTATTGTTTAGAGATTAACCATATCTCAGAGACTGGAGATATGTAAGTATTGTTTAGAGATTAACCATATCTCAGAGACTGGAGATATGTAAGTATTGTTTAGAGATTAACCATATCTCAGAGACTGGAGATACATGCATGTAAGTATTGTTTAGAGATTAACTGGAGACCTTTCACTGAAGCAATAACTTCAAATATTTTACCAGTTGATCAGTTTGTGGAGATGAATTCAAACTGCAATTTGGTAAACTATATGAGCAATTGGTATAATAATAGGCCAAAGCCTACTGAATAAGCACAGTAAATGCACATAAATAATGCACATTTTTAAATGTATTTTCAAATACTGTAAATTAAGAAATTAATGTGTGCATTTTTTTATTGCGATATTTGAAGAATGGAAAAAATTGTGAGAAAAATTATTGCGATTTCAGGAAAACTGAATATAGATATATGTATCAGAAATTTGAATGTGAGTTCTAATTATTGGGATACTCACATGCACCCAGGTGCATTTTTCACATTAATAAAAACCTTGCAATAGTTTCTGAATTTATAGCAATGTGGAATTAAAGCTGAATACTATTACTAGTTATAGTGTGCCTTTTTAAGCCATGAGAAGGTACTAGTCATAAAGCAGCCATATGGTAAATAAGCTTGTAATGGCCCTGGGAAACTTTAAGTTTAGGGGACTAATCATTAACAGTTCATTGTATTTTTACACACAGTATGCGGCAGTCATTAAAAAAGATTATGTAACAGTGAGTATAGAATTCTTCAATAGTTTGTATAATGATGTTAAATTTATTTGCAGCCACAATCAGATTTATTGGGCTTGATACAGATTTTAGTGATAGTGTTCAGTGAGGAACCACCTGTTTTCTCTAGATCTGCATCCTCCCAGAATAGGCCACCTCCATACCAAGGCGGCTCCCAACAACCACCATATCCATCGCAAGGTTTGTATTTCTTGTATTAGCATTGGAACATCTCATTTCCATACAAGTGAGAGGTTTAGCTAGCTATAAAACCAGGTTTAATCCACCATTTTCTACGTAAGGAAATGCCTGTACCAAGTCAGGAATATGAAGTTGTTCTCCATTCGTTTAATGTGTTTGAGCTTTTGATTTTGCCATTTGATAAAGGACTTTCCATTTTGAATTTCCTTGGAGTTCAATATTTTTGTTGTTCTACTTTTTTTTCCATGGAAAGTATTTGGCCAAACCCCCTCAGTCATGTTCCTTTGACTTTGAGACTTTTGCATACTTAAATTATTAAAGTTTGTGATTAGGTCATTTAAAGAGGAACCACTAATGGATGGTCAATAATATTTGGTTTGCAGTTGTATTGCATTGGTAAATCTCATTTCAATGGAAATTATTTGGCTTAAAAATAACTAATCCAAGAATTCAAATATTGAAAAAATATTCAACTTGTGACCTAACAACACTGATACATGTACATGTAATTCGCTCACTTGCTGAATATTATTTGATACTTATTTTCTTGGACTAGTTTTTCTATAAACAGTGTTTTTGATGCTATTCTCATTTTAAACCCACTAAAATATATAGATACATGTATAATTTCATTGAAGTTTCATACTATTTTATAATTTTGACTGCCCCTGCAGGCATTCCAAAAGTTATATTTCATTTTTTTATAAAATGCAACTGCACATGCTGTTCGTGACAAGGTTAGAACAATGCGTACTAAAACAACCAAAAGGATTGATCAAACTAAAATTTCAATGTGGTAGCATAAAAGTGTAATAATACTAATAGAATGCTTCTTTTTAATACTTTATAGGGTTGTAAAAGCATTAAATTTTCGCTTCATACAAAATGTGCATTGGTCAACACTTTTACACCCAAAAACAATTACAAAATTACAAAATGGAGCATTCAAAACTTAAATAAAAATCTTTAGGAACTGAAAATGTAGAAAGATTAACTTTGTGTATTATTTGTATATTGATTTGATGATTCAAATGTATAAACTGAAATCAAAAGGAATACATTTATTTTCTGACAGGGAAAATAATAGTTTTACTGAATTTGAAACGTTTAGCTAAAATATATCGGTTTTCAATAACATTTACTTTTTTTAGACACACAATAGATCAAAATTTAACATAAATTACAGGTGGATTTCCGATGCCACAACCATATTCATCAGGTTATCCTCAGCAAGGTGGCCAAGGTGGCCAAGCAGGGAGTTATCCAAATTCAGGTTTCCAGGGATATCCAAACTATCCAAACCAACCAGCTCCAGCTGCAGGAGGATATGGTAATAGTGGATTTAGTGGATATCCAGGTCAACAACCTCAAGGATATCCTAGTTCTACTCCAGGATACCCAGCAGCGACATCTGGATATCCTTACAGTGGTGGTGTACAGACTGAATCAAGTAAATTAAATTTTATTAACTTTTGTTGAATTTGAAAGTTGACCATTATGAACTTTGCTCAGTCAACTGATTGATTGGTGTAAACAAGGTATAGGAAAAAATACAGTAGTACACAATTTGAAATTTAAAGATTAGTAACGTAAATTGAATTGTTTTCTTTAGGTTTACATATTGATGAGAATTTAAAATTATGTCTTACTTGGAAGGAAAAAATTACATTAGCATGCATGCTAGAATCAGAATACTGCATAATAAATGTGTGTCCATGTAGCTTGTAACCTCTTTTTGATTAGTTATTTTAAGAATAGAATAATAAGGTCTATTCTAATAGCTTTTTCAGTTTCAGTTTCAACTGCCATTGCTAACTTTGATTGATAAGCACTAACATATATATAAAAAAAATTATATGTTGAGTTTCAAGGGCATGCACAGTCTATGTGAATTCAATATAACATTTTGGGAATGAGATGCTTTTTTAAATGGAATAGCCTCAAAATGAAAAAGTCAATCTTATGTTTTGCCTTGATTTTTGTTTTACATAGATGGAATGTATTATGATTTATTACAGCCACGACTGCAGCCAATCGTCCAGGAAGTAATATGACAGTGACCGAGGAACATCTGAGGATGTCTCTGCTATCAGCGGTAGAAGACAAAATGAAGAGACGACTTAGAGAAATATTTGAACAAGCTCAAGTAAATAAATCTTTGTATGCCTGAACTGAGTGCTTCAACAATAACAAAACTTCCTTTATCAATATATCACCACTCCTCCCAGGGTGTATTTTTAAGCAAAGTATCTTTTATAACTGAAAAAAAGTATAATTTGTTTCGATGAAAAATTCACATGCTGAAGACCAATATGTTGTGTTTTGAAAATTATTGGAGAAAATTTTATAAATATCCTCATTTTTCAAGAATTTTAAACCATGCACATGGCAAGGTGCATTTAACTCTGATCTTAATTGACTAGAATTGCCAAGAATGTTTAATAAAGGTGCAGAATTAATTGATTTACTCATGTTTACTCATGTTAGTTCAAATTTTGGTACACAAATTTTTATCTAACCAGAATAATTCAGTCCCTCCCTTTGATTGACTTCCACTAGCAAGGGCCTGAACACTTTATACAATAAACATGTGTCACACATTGATTAGTGCTCTCTGAATGAGAGAGCCAATAAGCTGGTAGCTTTATTTTATCAAACTAGGTAAATTCAGAGCTAATTATGAATCATTAACTGACAATTTTTCATTGACTAGGACTTTAGCATACATTGTAAGATAAAGCTCAAAACAGAGAGAAAATAGTGTCACACTATATAAATAACACATAGCTGAGAGGGTGATAGAGCAGATTGTTACTCAGAGAAAACATTGACAACCGAGGCGAAGCCAAGGTTGACAATGACTTTTCTAGGGGTAACAATCTGCTCTATCACCATCTCAACTATGTGTTATTTAATTTATTATACTGAATGTTCTGTTATGACTGTCTATCAACATTTAAATTTAAAGTAATCAACTATGACTTCTTGTACATAACAACAATCCGTATCTAATAAAACGCACAATTGATCAAATGTCTCTGTGAAGGGTAATAGAGTATTTGCCATGGGATAGAGTAAATTATCTCCCTTATATTAACAGATCAAAATCTGGCATTTTGACATGAAGTATAATAAATTTTCTTATGCTTATACTAATAGAAAGTTTAGGCATGGGTCTAGTTAAATGTAGATATAAAATTACTAAATATATCAATCAATAACTTAGTTATCTTTGTAATACAAATTTGTATTTTATAGGCTGAAATGAATGTCCTATACAAGACCCAGTCAGATTTAAACACAGGAAAGACCAAGTTAGAACAAATCTTTAAAGATCTGGAACAAGAAAAAGTAAGTATATACTTAAGACTTCATGTTAAGTGGTTATAAACAACAAAGTTCGATTGATAACATTTAAGTGTGATATTTTAACAAACATAGTTGTTTTGTGTACAATTTATGTCTCAAACATAAGCTTTAATTTGCTGTAAGGATGGATGGGCTGTTTCACGTCTTGTGGCAAATTAAATGCCTATTCAGAATGAGAACATGTTAATGTGATATGAATATACACTCTGCTTTGTACTAGACCAAAACACTGGGTCAGAATTTTAACGTGTAAGTTTACAAGGTAATGGTCAGCATGAATACGTGTCATCCAAGTGGACACATTATTCTGACTCTAAGCTGACCAGGCTTTGCTCTTACTCCTAAATGTTGCGTGCTTACCAATTTTCAAGTCTGATATACGGTAGGTAAAAAATATGTAGATATTTCTTTTCAAGTATTAATTTTCTATTAAAAATTTTGTTTTACAGGAAGAAATAGAAAGCAATATAAAACTATTAAAAGATAAAGATAGAGAGTTAAAAGAAGCATTACAGAAAGTAGAACACCAAGATAAACTGGACATAGATGAAGCTGTTATAACTACTACACCACTGTATAGACAGTAAGTTGTTTGATAGGATGTAATTATATCTGAATCTTTCAGTTGATTAACAATTGAGCCAATGTCAATAAATTTGTTCGTGGATTGACTTGAACAGAGTGACTTTAATAAGTGAAGATAAGGGGAACTATTTTTGTGGAATTAAAATATGTTGTCCCATTATCTATAGAAGTCACTCCGGTTAAGGGAAAGCTCAGCATGTACAGCAACTGATATTAAGTGTAGACTGCATAATTCCTTGTCAGCAGGTTTAATAAGTACTTTGAGCTTGATTTCAGTATAAAATTGAAGCATTCTTTTATTTGGTATAATTTTTTGGTGTTTTTGTTATCTATTTCCAGTACATGTATATCGTTATTTTAGAATTGAAGGTTTTTATTGTATTTTCTTTTAAGTACTTTTTCTTATCAACATTTCAAAAGTCTTGTTTAATTCCGCCACATATTCATGTGCCTATACCAAGACACAACCTTGTCAGTAGTTGTCTTATATATACTGTTTTAAAGTTTTTTTGGTATTAGAGGCAGAAATTTGACCGTTGCTATTTAATTTATTCACAATTTTTGTAAACTCGAGCTCTGTACAGTTAAGAGCTTGATGTATTATATAGACACTTGTCTAGTGTTGAAGACTACATGTTGCCATTTTTGAAATCTCTTGGATGTTTTTGTGGTTGAATTGCTGAAGTTTCTTTGACATATATCCCACATTGTTTTCATACATTCTAGTACTGGATAGGTGTTGTCATGGTAAATAAGTTATATATATAGCTCGCCTTTTACGAATTAACATATTTAATTCACGAAAAGCATAATGAGTAAGGTGTGGCTATATATGATTTGTAAAATAAATTGGCGATGACACATGTCATAGGTTAAACTTAACTGTACTTTTCATGAATTAAATATGTCAATCAAATAGTGGCGCTTTCTATGACAAAACGTCTCTTATTTTAAGAAAATTAACTCTTGGATCAGATATTTCATTAGGATTTGTCTTAATGACAGATGTACATGTAAATGAGTTGTTGTCGTGATATTTCCTCAAGGTTTAAAGACCAGGGAGCTATTTATGTGTTATTGAAGTGCCCAACCCCCAGGGTGAAAATTCTTTAGGGGATAGATACAAAATCTTGTTAGATGTATACCATGCTGTATGCTTTCAAAACCAATAGGATGTTTAGTTTTAGAAGAGGTAAAAGAAGTAAACTTTTTAAAACTTATTGTGAAGGTATTCTGCCTTTCCCAACACCATGAAAATGATGATTAATTGATGGGCTGTTGATTGCTTAAGGTCCAGAGTTAAATATTTTAAGCATGCTCAATTCAAGGAGACATACCTTTAAAAGTGGAGGAAATGAAACGACTAAAAATCCAGTGACACTTATTTGGAATATTTATTTTGACACGATAAAAACAAGTATCCAACAATTTATCAATATCGCCCCTTCGTTTTACAGACCACGTTATTCCTTTTTGTAGCTCTCCTCAAGCATTCATTTGTTTCAAGTATGGGAACCATTTTTGTCTCACCTGCAACTAAAGTCTTGGAAAGCAAGACATAGGGATTGCTTTTCCGTCGATGGCTGTGATGACGGCGTCAACTATTGTTAAGTTTTCTGTTTAAATTAGTTTAATAGGAACTACTTGTGATAGATCATTGATATTTTCTATGAAGATGCATTACTATCAGTACATATCAGTTTGACGACAACTTCGAGGCCATGGTCCAGTGACTTTGAATTAATTAGCAATTTTAAATGTTAAGTTTTCTACTTTAGTTAGATTGATAGGAACTACTTGTGATAGATCAATGATATTTTGTATGATGTTGCATTGCTATCAGTACATATCAGTTTGACGACAATTTTGAGGCCCTGCCCCCTAGGCCATGGTTCAGTGACTTTGATTTGATAAGCAATTTTCAATGAGAAGATTTCAGCTTAAGTTAGTTTGATATGAACTACTTGGGATAGATCAATGATATTTTCTATAAAGTTGCATTTCTATCAGTACATATCAGTTTGACAACTATTTTAAGGCCCTGTCCCCTAGGTCATGGTCCAGTGACTTTCAATCAATTTAATTTTCAATGTTAAGTTTTATGATTAAGTTAGTTTGATAGGAAATACTTGCAATAGACAATATTTTCTATAAAATTACATTGCTGTCTGTACATCTCAGTTTGTCAACCATTTAGTGGCCCTACCCACTACTTGGTCCAGGGACTTTGAATTAATTAGCAATGTTGCTGTCCATCAGATTGTCTTTTTTCTGAATTTTATGCAGACAGGCGAGACACATCGTTTATTTAATTTGGGGTTAATTTTTTTTTTTATATATATATATTGTTGTGTATGCATTTTGTTTAAATTTATTACGATATTTTGCGGTCATGCATTTCATTGTTTACTAGGCTGAGGAGGCGGAGCTAGACAGTGAAATAACAACTTCTGAGATGGAAGTTAGAGCACTGGTCTAAGCTCCTCCCATTCTTTGCTTTTCCTATGACAAGCGACACACAGCGGGACTGGAGAGTGCAATAACTAAAAAATCATTCAGTTAACGATCTCTTCTAAAAATAACAGAAGTAAATCCATTAGAAGATCAAAGAAAAATTACCATTCATGTTACAAGAATTTATTTGGTAAACATTTTGGGATCTTTCCTGTTTTCAGTATATTGGACTATTTATAATTATGAGGAGGCAAGGCCTTATCTGAACATTTTTCATGATTTAAAACAATTTTACAAGAAAAGGAGATGGGAAACAACTAATGGGGAAAAAATTTATGATTCAAAGAAAAAGTCTTTTGAAAGGGAAGAACCGTAAATAGCTAGATTCAATAAACAGAGGCCATAGCTACTTTATTTGTAAAAGTTTGTCTTTTTACAACTGTAATTTTATGGTATAAAAAATTCTCTTGGTTTCAGATCAAACGATTTACCCAATACTGCAAATGTGCAAGTAGTTTTGGTTACAACGTTTCAGATTTCTTTGCAGTGTTAAATATTAGATATCTGATTTTTACAAAATGTATTTAAGAGTAACATCTGTCATGTCATGATCATTTCCTGCAATTTTTACTAAGTAATATTTTTTCCACAGATTATTGAACTCATTTGCAGAAGAACAAGCTATTGAAGATGCTATATATTACTTAGGTGAAGCTCTTAGAAAAAATGTTTTAGAGCCAGATGTGTTTTTGAAGGTATGTTTGTAACTTTCAGTCTGACTGTCTGTCAACTTATTTTGTTGAGCCATCTTCTACACACTGCAGGTTTAATATCAAAAGTATTTTCTATGTACATCAAATGTTTTTAAAAGTATTGATTCTGTTACATTACTGAAATTCTTTTAATACTTAATAGTTTGTTTTAGGCTAAGAATATAAAGGCATTTGTTTAGATTAAATAAAGGATATAGAGTATTGGTACAAGCAGAAACTAGTTTAAAAGTTTAAAGACATTTTTATGTCAACTCTTGTTTGGAAAACTGGAAAAATTAACTGTATAATTTGTGTACAAAGATATGCAATTTATTGTTAAACCGCTACAGTTCTTTATATGTAGTACATAACTTATAAGGGTATTTTAACCACCCTTTGAAATTAAATATGTTGTTAAGGGTAACCCATGTCAACGGACAAAGATATTTTATTTATATAAAATTAGTTGATTCAAGACATTGAAAATAAGCATCTTGCAAATGAAATAGTCTTATATTGTAATATAAATGGCCTTAGTGGTGTCATCTTTAAACATCTTGCCTGTTATGAAGAAGGTCAAACATTTGCTCTTCAACTTCGTACTTTTTTTTTGGGAATTTTTAACTTTTTTAGATTCGAGCGTGACTGATGAGTCTTTTGTAGGCGAAACACGCGTCTGGCGTAAATACAAAATTTAATCCTGGTATCTATGATGAGTTTATTTGATACCCACAGCCAGCTGGAATAGATTTAATACTTTAAGATTGCTATGCATGCAGTAGTTAGGAAAAGAGTATGGTGACCTATAGTTCCTAAATTTTAAGTCCATTGGTCTCTGGTGGATATTTGTCTCGTTGGCAATCATACCCATCTTCTTATTCTATAAAGACTAGTTGGCTTTAAGTCAGAATTTTATGTCTTTCATCATACTGTCGCCTTGTTGACTAGAATTTTATAAGATTTGACTCAAGATATAGGTCTACTACTAGCAGGTTGTATTTACATGACATTTATATGTATGGCTTCAATATGGTCAAATCCAACCCAAGGGGTTTGGAGGACGACCTTGCAACCTGCTGTCCCATTTAAAAGAAACTGTTACCTTTAAAATGTACTAAACTAAGAATCAGAACAGTTTAGAACTGTATAAATTGCTGAAAATTTACCTAAGGCAATCTTTTAAACATGACTTTGTGACCTAAGGGTGTATCCTTTTGAAGCCTCAAATGTTATCAGCCTAAATTTGTATGTAATATTTACCATAAGGAACCATCATTCAATAAATCAATCTTAATTTTTGTATAATATCAAAAAAGTGTTTGGAATATTTTATTTTTTTTTATTTTTCAGCAAGTACGAGAGTTATCAAGACAACAGTTCATGAAACGAGCACTTATTCAGAAATGTAGAGAGAAAGCTGGTCTTCCTCCTTTAGCCTGACCGATTTTTACATTGTTACATTATATAAATAATGTGGATGTTATTGTATATTTTTGTTAATACATAAAGTTTTTATGAGACTGAGGGGGTGAAATTTTTGCACATTTTATAGTGAACAGATAAAACAGTTATATCTATCAGAGATAGAAAGCAGAGTAGAAAAATCTGCAAAAATTGAACTCAAAATTGATGACTGCGACTCTTTTAAATGTTTGTCACTGGTGATTGAAAAATAGATACAGTACATATTGTATATGTGCTGAAAATAATGCAAAAATTATAAAATGTGAGGACTTATTTAATTTAATCATAGGTTTGCATATTGTTTACATTATATTTGTTGGTTGTATAGAAAACAAACAAATTATTCACAACAAAAATATACTGTGATTTATTTTTATTTGTGGGGTGCAAATTTTTGTGGATTTTTGTGGTTAAATGTTAAACCACAGATTGAAATGTTCAATGATTTATAAATTTGCTATAGGCTTTAAAGAAAACTGTGGAAACACCATGAAATCAAATATCCCAGAAAATACAATTTTTCCTCAATCCACTAAAATCGGTAGCCACGAAAAATCAATGAATCCACAGTATTCACCATTGCTTATAATATTCTCACTCTATATCCAGGCATAAAAGAACAATCATCATATTTTTCTTTATTACATATACATATTATCACATTTATCTGAGGAATGGATAATTTAGTTTTATCATTATGGTTCTGTTACACACATTTTTTTGAAAATATTTCAGACTGTCATTGATATCATAACATTTCATACAAATTTATCATGTTTTTCTTTGCTTTATTAATCTTTTCTGCTTTAGCTACAGACTCGTCATATCCTGAAATTTTTACATAAGAATATCATATAAAAAGTTGAAAAAATCTGTCCATAATTTTTTTTAAATTAGTGGCCCAAACATTAAGTTTTTAATGATTTTGCAGAAAAACCAAAGCTGTACGTTAAGCACTAGTAAAAATCTTAAATAAATCATTGAATTTACTATGTAAAATTAGTTGTTTTTTTTTTTTATTGCATGACCATAATAAAATATGCTGAGCTCCTCCAAAAAATGATCGCCAGTGTTAAATTATTCTAAATTGAGTTGTGTGCAAAGGTTTAAAAAACAGATTTAAGGCTTTTTGAACTGGCACAAATATTTTTTCCAGGTATATCCATAGATTTATGAGGTTATTGCAAAACACACTCCATGTTTTAAGGAAACGTTTACATATTATTGAAGCAGAAAAACAATTGTAACAGTAACATCTTTGAATTCAAGTTAAGTCATGATACATGTATATACATATATTTGTGTAGGTTTCTTGAAATCGTTTGATTACAATTTTTTCACAACAAGAGATCAATGGATAAGATATTAAAGAAGTGTGTTTACACACTGGATATCCTGACCTGAAATTAGGATCTGATTCCCAAGTAGCAAATACACTTTGTTAAGTACAATTCGTAAGTAAAAACTTGATCCAATTCCCAAGGAGGATTATGGTCCGTGGGAATCAGATCCAGATCTTACATACCCACCATTTTGCGGTCTCGTTTAATTGTTCCACGGGATCCCTCAACAGATTTGGGATTGGGATACCTGGTGTGGTTTAAAGGTGAACATGGTATGTATTGCATCGCTTGAATCTTTGTGGCTTCACTATGAATATTTTAAAAAGTTTAGTGCAGAAAATTATTTGATTGTATACCATCAACTGATAATCCCAAGAATGAATTTGCGATTGACTACAGTGATGGTTGTGTCTGTGCCACTTTTGTATTCACCACTGCTCCTGAACTACAGGTCAGAATTTTAGAAAACTTTGGACTTTTTCATATATGCACACTACACTGCACATTTGTATCTGCTTCTCCTCTTTTAATAACCCCTAATCAGAAATTAATGACACTTTCTTTTGTGGTTTCCCTTTAAAATCATGCCATTGTTTTATCTTGATAGATAATTATTTTCTCATAAGCAACTTTTCATTACCTCTTCTTGGATTTATTGGAAATTTTCTCCTAGTTTGTTTTTAGGTCACCTGGCCCAAAGGGCCAAGTGAGCTTTTCCCATTACTTGGCGTCTGTCGTCCATTAACTTTTACAAAGATCATCTCTTCTGAAACTACTGAGCCAAATATAATCAAACTTGGCTACAACCATCATTGGGGTAGCTAGTTAAAAAAAATGTGTCTGTTAGAGCTACTTACCTTTAACTACGATTTTTACCTATTTTTTGTCTCGCCTGCGACGATGGACAGCGAGACATAGGGATTGCATTTCCAGCAAAGACGGCTCCAGCTCCGGCATCAACAATTGTTAAGTTTTCTGCTTAAGTTAGTTTGATAGGAACTACTTGTGATAAATCATTGATATTTACTATGAAGTTGCATTACTATCAGTACATATCATTTTGACGATTATTTCGAGGCCCTGCCCCTTAAGTTGTGGTCCAGTTACTTTGAATTAATTAGCAATTTTCAATGTTAAGTTTTCTGCTTAAGTTAGTTTGATAGGATCTTGTGATAGATCAATGATATTTTGTATGAAGTTGCATTACTATCAGTACCAATCAGTTTGACGACTATTTTGAGGCCCTGCCCCCCTAGTACATGGTCCAGTGACTTTGAATTAATTAGCAATTTTCAATGTTAAATTTTCTGCTTAAGTTAGTTTGATAGGATCTACTTGTGATAGATCAATGATATTTTGTATGAAGTTGCATTACTATCAGTTAATATCAGTTTGATATGTCTATTTCGAGGCCCTGCCCCTAGGTCATGGTCCAGTAACTTTGAATTAATTAGCAATTTTCAATGTTCAGCTTTTCTGCTTAAGTCAGCTTGATAAGAACTACTTGTGATAGATCAATGATATTTTGTATAAAGTTGCATTACTATCGGTACATATCAGTTTGACGACTATGTTGATGCCCTGCCCCCTAGGACATGGTCCAGTGACTTTGAATTTATTTCCAATTTTCAATGTTAAGATTTTCTGCTTAAGTTATATTGATAGGAACTACTTACAATAAACAACGATATTTTTCTATAAAGTAACATTACTGTCTGTACACCTCAGTTTGTCGACCATTTTCAGGCCCTGCCCACTAGATCATAGTCCAGTGACTGAATTAATAAGCAACATCCTGTTCGTTCATCAGACTGTCTTTTTCTGAATTTTATGCCGATAGGCGAGACATATCTCTGTGTCAACAGTTTATTTGTCATTTTGCCTCAAATCTTAAAAACTACAATAGATAGAAAGAAACTTTAAACAGCAAAAGTGATTAGCAAGACAAGATCTACAAATCAGTTTAAAGGTCGAATTCTTCAGTGGACTGGTTATTGAAGTTATTGCTATTTAATGACGATTTTTACCAATTTTTGCCGTTTTTTGCCCATTGCCTTGAAAACTATATAAAGATAGATAGAAACTTTAAATAACAAAAATGATCAGCAAGACAAGATATAGGAGTGATTTCCCTTAAATGACGATTTTTTTACCCTCTTTTGTGTTTTAGGCAAAAACTAAATAAGATCGAGAGAAACTGTAAACGGTAGTCTACAATATTGAAGATGCACATCGACCTAGGTGAGCGACACAGGCTCTTTAGAGCCTCTAGTTTTGATAAAAATCATGTGTGGAAAGGGGGGATCATCCATTTGTGAGCACTGCCTACAGTACTTTTAATTTGATTTATTTTTTATACTCTGCTGGCATTACCATGTGCTACAAGTGTAGTATCGTCTTTACTTGCATGCAGATGCACTTCTTTAAGGTCAGTGTCCATACAGAAAAAAAAATAGCTGAATTTTTTTATGATCCATTGACATAATACATGCAACAACCTATACTTGAAACACAATCAATCGTTGTTAATTCAGGTGCAACAATATTTTTTGTTTTGGTATTACTAGTATAAGTTAAAAGCCAGAAGTTTGATTCCTTTGTTAAAATCACATTGCCTTATTAAAATGATAGGACAAACAAAGTGAACAATGTATTGATGAATTACCTATATGTTGTTTTTTTTTGTCATAAAAAGGAATAAAAGTTTAAGTGAGACAGCAACCCTCAAAAATGATATCTAGAGGTCAGCATAAATTCTTCAACAGTAGACAAGCGTCTTAATGGTATGTCAAGCTTTGTATTGCCCCAAGTGTAGAAAAGTTGTTAACTGAGACTACCAAAGATTTGCCATCGATACCCGATTTTCTGAAGAACAAATAGCATTAACATACAAGGAAAGACAACCACTGATGAGCTTCCTGACTAAGAACAAAGGCATGGCTGTCTTTTCTCAATTAGGGATATCTGTTTGTCTGATTAAGTCAGTAGTTTTCTACTTTTCTCATGCACGATTTCAACCAAGTCAGTTGTTTTAAACTTTTCTCTGTAAGATTGTCAACAATGAATAATAGTTGGTTCTTTTTTGAATACCAAATCAGATTATCTAGGAATTCTTGAAAATTTTGTTTTTTGCATTTTTGGGATTCTGTCTTTTAACCAAGTTGAGACGTTTCAAACATGACTTATAACACCCGAATGTGATGAACAGCATCTAGGCAGGTAGCAACATTACATTGTGTGGACAATAGCTTATGAATTAATAAAAGATTAGGATAAACATCAATGATCATAGAAAAATATAATATCTTATCCATTTTTGGTCCCCATTTAATTTTTCTTCGAATTTTGGAACTTTAAAGTTGAAGCCCATTTTGCAAAGGTCTTCGGCTGTTACTTTCTAATAAAGATTAATGACCACTAAAATATGTTTGTAAGAGTGTAACAACACAGATGTAGGCAATCTCCCTTTCAACGGAACAAATAAAAGTCATTGTTTTATCAAGTTTCCTTACAAAGGCTATCAATGATATGAATATAAATTTATTGGAAGATCGTACCAAAAACTACTCGTGTCATATCCACGTCCATTAGCTAAATTTTGATTTTAAAAACATTATTTCTTATTCCGCCGTGATTTCATAGAAATAAACAAGTGCTAATCATTCAAAATGGATATTAAGTTATTAAAGTACAATATCTTGCAAGTTAATCTCCTAATCATGTTTACAATTTTCCTATAAGGTTAATCAGAATTTGAGAAAAAAGTCGGATTTATTTTAATCTGATCGAATTCGTTTAGATATATAGTTCGAATAGTATTGTATAAGAATAAAACAAGTAAATGGACAAATGCCGTAGGAAAAGAATAATATGAATATAAGGAAATAGATGGGTTAACGTCAATGATGGCCTACCGAACATCACAATACAGCCAACAGACATCTAAAAGTAAAAGGAAAGTCTTCAATAACAAGACACAATCATATGACAAGATCTAAATGCTCCGTATTCCGGACATTTGCAAAGGAATTCAACAGAGACGTGTAAAGACATGTTATAAACACCTTGTTCATGAAAGGAAAAAAAAAACATTTAGAAACAATTCCAAATCGTCGATAAAAATTTTGACTTGTTGCACGCGTGCAGAATTTTTACCATTATGGTGCATTACGCCAACTTTCTTCAAACCCTGGTTCCGCTCAGGGGGACCTCACCAGTGTTTGAAGAAAGTTGGCGTAATGCACCATAATGGTAAAATTCTGCACGAGTACAGCAAGTCAAAACATTTATCGACGATTTTATGCGAAAAAATTATCTATTTTTTATTAAAAGGATCGATCTCCCCTCCCCCGAATCTGCCAATGGTTCCTGATTTGGTGCAGGTACATCATCGTGTGATGAGATTTAATGTTTTGTCGCGATTCTCTTCTCTCTCCTGTATAACAGGAAATATGCTTCTATTATTTGCAGTGGAAAGCTTTCTATGTGATGATTATAGTAATCAATCATTGTTAATGTTCTACACACTAAGACTATAGTACGATGCTTTCATGTTTCCATAACTTTTAATTTTATAGGTCGCTAATTAAAACAAGACAGTATCGAATTTCACTTAACAATTAATTGCATCTTCTTACAAAAGAACATAACATTGTAAATTTAAACTTCTTATCATGTACATTTAAACCTATAGTCCAGGTTTACTTAATTATGAACAATTTGCGTAAAGATTAAGTCAGCATTTGCGTATGGATTTAAAAGGTCGTATATTTTATTAGTTTTCATAACTATTAAATGACCAAGTGAAAATGACCATTCATAAGAAGACATGCATCGAGGATTAAACTTGAAATAGTATTAAAACAAACATTGGAAAAGCTGAGCAACAAGCAAAACAGTAGTTAAAGACAGAGGAACACGAAGGGCAAATTGGGAATTTTATCTGTGGAATAAAAACAAAAATAAAGCTGTGCTGAACATGTACATGTTATAGAAAGTTAAATGCGGGGATTATAAAAAAAATAACAACGTCAATCGTGCTAATGTGAAGTAAACTGTGTAATCAACTGTTGAAATAGTGAATGACCTGTTGATTCGAAAGACAAATGTGAACCTAAAGGTGAAGAATCGTGATCAAAACTGAAAAAATATGAGAATGTACACTTAGTCTAATGTTGATTGGAATTGAACAACATTTCATTTCGAATTCCGTTTTTCATTTCGATAACAATGACGAATCTGGCTGAATCGTGATCAAAACTGAAAAAAAAATTCAGAGAATGTACACTTAATTGGAACAGAACAATATATTTCGAATTTCGTTTTACTTTTCGATAACAATGACGACTCAGGCTGGAATTCAGGCTCCAAAGGAGAACCGAGATCCCAATGATATTAATGATCATCTTCAGGTAATTATGAAAGATGTAGGGCCAATTACCTCTGAATTTAATTCACACTAGGGCCATTTTATTTTAACTTAGATATAAAAAATCGAAACCTTCAGGTATATGTTGAGGTTTTTACATCATTAAGGAGGAGTTTTGAACATGCAACCATATTTAAAAGATGGTCAAGAATGCTATTTTGTTAGTTGCTTCAATTAAAAAATTAAAATTAGAAGGTAATTGAAACCAAAGATAATTTTCAGTCGGATGTTTAACTAGGCAGTACTGTTCAAATACAGACTAATTCCTTGATTCCTGATGGTCTTCGATTCTTTAAAAAAAAACACGTATACTTGCAAGTTTGCATCAAAACTTCATACAACAGCAATGTTTAGTGCTGAGGCGGTTACGATAAGAAAAAAAAAGTTATGACTAGTCTTGTGAAATTTTCTTGTTAATTAAAACTGCGAATTTCTTTTTACAAAGGAAGAAAAGGGGGGGCCTAGATAAGGTTAGGAGTGAGACCTGTAAAAAGTCAATGCATTACAATATATGTAGTTCTATAAGAGGAACAACATTTAACACGACTCTGATGTTATTCAGTGAGTGAGAAATACAGGTGAAATTGGCCATATCTCTTTTAATAGTATATCTAAGTGGGTATCTACACAAAGCATTGACCAGGTACAGAAACAAACAAACAACAAACTCAAATTTATGAAAAAAAATAAGAAACATTCAACTTCTAGAGAAACCGGAAGTAAATCATGTGAGTTATATGAGAATTCCATTAATAGAATAAAAAAAAACAAGCATAAAAACACAAAAAATCCCCGAAAAGTACACAACCACAGAAACACAAAAAGTATTAAAAAAACAACTACAACTACAGAATTATAATACTCCCTGCAGAATCGTGTATGCAAAAATAAGAGGTGGTATGATTGCCAATGAGACAAATTGATGTATGTACGATCTGTTATGGCAATAGAGTAATTTAGAATTAGGTAATGGTACCGTCGTATGAATTTCATAAAAAATTAATAGGTTCGAGTGGCTAGTATTTTCTCAGATATTGATGACTGGAAAAAATTTAAACGGAAACTACAAGCTTTAGCATATACATGTATCGTATTTACCATAGGTTCCTGTATAAAATTGATGTCGAGATGATTAAAATTTCAAAATCTAAGACAGTATATAATATTAAATCAAAAGGAAGAATAATGAAAATTTAACACTTTACTAATCAGTTCCGTGGCGGTTCTCTGGATCTACCGTCACCAGGAATTTTCAAACCCAAGCATTTTAAAGCCAATGTTATATAGTACATAAACACGTGAAAAGCTGTGTAACCATGCAAAATCTATATAACATCGTTTCTTTAATTTTCAACTCTTAAACAGAATTCTGTAAAAAATCACGATTAAAAATTGAGATAACAGTAACCCCGTAGTGAAGAGGTAATTTTTAGAATTTATCCATTTTCATTTTTGTTTTGTTTCAGATGAAATTTAATCAAGTATTTGGCGAACCAGATAATAACCATTCTTTCGGAATAGTTTGGGAATGTTCAGAAACCTGTTATTCATGTTGGCATGGTTTGTGTTATGGATTGGCATCATGTCTTTGTAGTGTGTGGATTGTTATATATTGGGGTTTTATTTTTGGATGTTTAGCGTTTGACCATATTTGGATATGTACGCCATTTTGGAAATTATTCACAATGATCATGCAAATCTGTCGTCCATTGAAACCGTGTATAGATTGTTGTGTACGACCTTGTACAGGCGCATGTGCTCACTTTTTTATTCTTTTTGCTGAGCCTGGGACAGATATTGACAGATGGAATAAACCAGTGATAAAAACGCCTGTTCGACGAGTAAGAATCAATAGAGATTCGCCGGAACCTGTTAAAAGGACTCTTGTACCTGAGGATGATCTATTCTTAGGACAGAAGACCCAAATGGCCCGCTCAGTCCAAAGGCAAATGATGCTGTAACGAAAACAGTCTGCTAGTTGCAACGTACCTGTAAGGTTATGATTGATCAGTGCTTATAAACTAGATATTTACAGTACTCTTAACTGTTTTATTTATAAATAACGTTATTATTAATAAATAAATAAATTCTTATTTATTTATGCTATTTGTGAGGTTGACCATGCAGATATGTTTAAAACGAACGTTGGAAAACACAATCATGACTGTATTTTAGTCATTCAAATATCACACCTTAATACGGGCTATCATTTCGACAGATATTGGCAATAGGATCTGCGTTTCCGATTGCTAACTTGTAAAGCAGAGTTTTGTCTGATGTTCCGGTTGCAATTGCAATATAATGGATTTTGCAATCGTGAACAGCAGAGTTTGATTTGTTTTACCTATTGTATTTGCAATACTGATAGCCTGTTATAGAGTATGAATATAAAACATGGAGTGATATTATTTTCCTTTTTGTCAAATTGCCATAAAATTGTCTAGACAACATGTATTTCTTGTAAAGCACTACATAAATCCCTCCCTCTATTCATGTATCCATGGTTTACTTCTCGATGTTCAAATATTTTAGTGTTTTATAACGTGAATATCAAAAATTCAAAAGAAATACTCAGTAACTATTGGTACCTACATGAATATTGATATGAAAATAAGGCAATGCAGTATGATTGCCAATGAGACAACTATCCACAAGAGACCTTAGACGAGAGTGTAAACAACTAAAGAGCACCGTAAGGCCTTCGACATTTAGAAAACCCCATTTGGTATTGTAAGTTATAATCAAAGTACTGAAGTACTGAACATCGGATGACCGCAGGTTCTTGTGGATGGTCAAAAGCACATGTCACAGAAACAGATCACATCTCTATACCTGAAACTGAGGTTAATTTACAGAGATTTTTTTTTCTTATACAAGTTCGTGCTTGGATGATGAATAGATGACAGGAAATTCAACCTCACCGTAATAACTATTATATTGTAGTGATACAAATCAGTATACCTTAGACTATTATACTAATATAATAATAGTTCCAGAGAATACACTGGTTTGTTGTTATATATTATATTAATATTACGGTTGCATGTATATATAATTTTCATCTATTTGTATATCATACTATTCTACTATTATTATAGTGTAATGCAAGTGCATGGTGGACACTCTTCTGTAAAAAAAAATATAAGTCTTAAAGGCTGTAAAAGCAATTGCTGCCATGTTAATGTTTTGTGGACTTTTATTTTTCATCCATATATATAAGAATTAAACCTGACAGGACAGGAGTGTTAACTAGTGAGAAGCAAGACGGTTTTAACTTTATATCAATATAAGACTTTAGCAGGAAATCATTTTAAATATGTTTTATATTTTACAAGGAGACAACAAGTTTACCAGGCTAAAGTTGGGGTTAATTATACATGTGCTGAAACATATAACTGAAAAAAAAATCATTATGGATTATCCCCTGGTAGTGTTTGTAACTGGGCAATAATTTCCTTTATTGATTTAATTTTAACCATTTTCATAATTAATTTAAATTAACCATTCAGTTAAAACATTTCAACTTTCCAGACGCAAATGTTGAAAAACGGGACAGAAATAAAATATCTTGCAAGACATAAACATGTAAAAATAAATATATATTTCAGCTTACTAAAAATATTTTCATAATGTTACTTTGACATCATTTCTTAAAACTAAGTCCCAAACATAATTGCTCAGTTGACATGTGTCATCCTCATGGATACGAGATAACTATAATTCTGATGCAATCCCGAAAAGGGGGGTCATCACAAACAAACATGACATTAAATTGTCATTATACGAACTAGAACAAACAGCTCTATGTTGCTTTGATATTTATCAATTTTCAGGAAACATGTGAAATAAATTTCAGGTCCATTTCATTATAGTGCCTAACAAGATTGTGTGAGGTAGACGAAATTGACCTTAAAACGATCGTATTGTCTTTTGATGTCCAAAAATAGGCAGATCGGACATATAAGGACTTTATCTAATGACTACATAAATTTGGGATTTATTATTATTATAATATTCTAATGAAACTGAAAATTGTATTTTTTTTTAGGATAAACAACAATTTTACCTGGCGTAGCCGTTCATAAATGTTTTTCTGCATTTATCTTCGAAAAATGGCGTATTTAATGGAATAGAACGTTAATACAGTAAACTTTCTCTTTTTCTCCGCAATAGGCTATCAAAAATAATTTATCTAATGTGTATGTGGAAAATTATGTGAAAAGATAAAAAGTGGCAATTGTTACCTTTCATACCTTAAGTTTCGTTCATCTGATTCTGAGCAATGCTTATATACTAAATATCTATTTATATGCCGCTATTATTGTTGTTGTTACCAATTATGTAAATCAATTGTATCTGATTTTATGCCCTTTATGGGCCCTGTAATTTGGGAAATAAAAAAAAATCTATTCATTGATAAAACGTAATATGGACTGGTCCAGTGTCCAGTTTGCAGGTCATTTAATTTTCTGTACACATTCATGCACGCTCTGATTTAATCAATATACTCGTACGAAAAAGCATGAACAGTTTGAAGGTAATCTAATAATAACTTAATCCAATCAAATTGCATAAGATTCAATAACAATGTCAAGTCCACATCATAATGAGTAATAGAGGTAAACTGGGTAGGGAGAAAATGACAGATATTTCAAGTTAATATTTATGCAATAACGAATTAAAATTTGTCAACCAAAAGTTTTGCTACAATTTCCAAAACATGTCGTTCTGTATGGGTATAGTTTTCGGATCTTTCATTAAGGCATTTAAGGCTTTAAAAAGTTTGGGCTTCAAAAGATCACACAATTATTGACTTTATACAGAAAATTCGTATAAATTCGTATAAACATATAAAACCGTTTTTAATAAGGAGATAATTCAGTCAAATTTTCAGTACTAAATCAACAACTGAAATGATTCCATTTTTTGATGAAACATCGTACGAACGGAGAACGGAATCGCAGGTATAAAAATGCACCTTTTTCCCTTGTAATGACCGCGGATCTATAATTTTTATAGATCGGTTGAAATCCCAAAACTAATTTGCATAATGGAAATTTAGGCGATAGCAATACATCGGAATGACCTCAAGGTCATCCTCTGTAAAAAGGAAAATGACTAAAATACCGAACTCCAAAGGCACCACCATGCCAAAATGTGAAACAGTTCAAGCAAGAAAACCAAACACCTATTTTATTCTAAAAACAATAAATGGAAAACTAATATGCCAGACAGCAACAAAAGACACCAACTGAACTGCAGGTTCCAGACTTGGGAGAGGCACATATATAAAGAATGTGGCGGGGTTAAACATATTTGTAAGCACTCCACAATCCCAACCCTAAACCAGGACAGTCGTGTAACAGCACAACATACAACCTCTTTAAAATGTAGAATGGATATTTTGGAATTAAAATTAATTATGAGAAGAAAATGACATCATAATGGGCGTCATCTGACGTTTACCAGAAATGAATAGTTCAAAGTTTTGTGGTTTGTATCATTCAACAGAAACTGGGAATATTAGGGCAACACTATTGTGTATATTGGTGGTTCTGCAGATATTCATTGCGTCTAAATAATTTTTGATAAATGGTTTGCCAACCTGGTGGAAGTATGTATTTGGCATGTCTGACCTTATTTGATAGATGGGTCATTTTCAAAAAACGTCGGATTTTGAAATTGAAAAAATTATTAAAAGTTACTAATTCAAACAACCCTCTTCATTAGCAATTCAAAACAAACAGTACTTATAGAACAACATATTAAAAGATGCAATCTTAATAATGTCATACAAGAATATCTTGAAACATTTTTTGATAGGTGGTACACTATTTTGTCTCTCCTGTTACCATGTTCAAAAGAAATTTCGGGTTATTAAGAAAATTTTAAGCTTGTTTTTCGTAGCCAATTAGATGGTTTCAAGAGTTTTAACTTCTATATATATATTCATTCTGTGAAATAATAGAGTATTTGCCAATTTTCCAGGTTGTACTGAAAAATGCCTCTAAAAATTGGTTTTCAAAGGTTATAAAAATTACCACCAGTAATGCAAGTCTTAGATAGCAATTCATATTGTTCAGCATTTTTGCCCCCTTAAAAAAACTACATCAAGTAAATCCCTCACATGTTAGTTTACTTTTGTCTTTATTTCATTGGTAACAGGAACGTACGTTAATGATATATCACTATATAAAGTTCTATCCTGTTACCTTTTTGTCTATCCTGTTACCAATATCAGTATTGCACCTGAAAATGCTAAATTGGGAAGATTAAGACGTTATAACCTTAAGATGAGTTTAAACAACGAAATATTTCATTATGTTTGCAACTATATGTTATGATAAACTTTTTAAAGGCGTTTCTGTCTACAATTGTCTATCCTGTTACTGTAACCATAGCAACCATAGTAACATGATAGACATAACAGGATAGACAAATTTCTTCATTTTTGAATGCTGTAGTGAAATAACTGCTTCCTTTGGTGAAGTGATAATGTTGTTCTGTAGTGATTTTGGTTTCCAACACCTTATTGAACTTTTTAAAAGTAAATTTTTGGTGTAATTAATCAAAATGTTGGTAACAGCATAGACATGAAAAAAAAATACCCTCTATTTTTTTCACTAAATGTCTTGAAATTTCTTTTCTCTTCACTGTGGTTCAAGAAACGTGCTGTGTTAAATGTTAAGGTTACTTTGCACTTTTGAAATCAACACTGACCAATTCAATATTCATAGGGAGGACAATTCAACGGCTGATTTAAGTAGCGGTAACAGGATGGACATGAACTTCATGTACGCTAATTGACACTACCTGTAACCGAGTACGGCAGAAAGTGATTTTCCTCCGATTATAGTACTGATTTTCCTTGATTTTGTACTGATTTTTCATGATAGATTTTACACTATAGCTCTGTCATTTAATTTAAGTAGCTTGAACTAATCAATTGGTTAAAGATGATTTATTCTGTCTGGTCAGTAGTCATTAGTAAGTGATATCCTGAGGTGGGATTGCCTTGAAGTTACATCATGACCTCTCTTATTCTTTGTTTTGATGCTGTTGCAGCTGATTTGAGTCAAATAAATTCTGTTTTAGTCTGCTTTAAGAAAACTGGGAGTATGAATTAGATTTTTTTTCATGACATTTTTTTCAAATATAATAATCTGAAAAATGCAAGTAGAAATTTGGACAAAATAAGCATTTAAATGGAAAAAAAACTAGCAATTAAACTTGAGCTTTTGTGTACAGATTGTCCCCTTCAGCTTGTTTTGATTACAGATTTTCCCTGATACCTATACAGATTGTCCCCGATTTTGAAAAAGCTATTCCTTCAAAAATAAAGCTAATATGTGGATCTTTTTTACACTTAGGCATGTGCTAATAATTAATAAATAGTGGAATATAAGGA